TCGAAAAGGAACTGAAAAGTTTAGAGGAAATGGATGTTATTGAAAAGGTTATAGGTTTACCGACACCATGGGTTTCGAACTTAGTAGCGGCTCCGAAACCTAATGCTCCGCATGAAGTGAGAGTGTGCGTAGATATGAGAAAAGCTAACACCGCAATCAAAACAGAGAAAAATGTTTGCCCGACGGTAGATGATATCATCTTGACGTTAAACGGCGCAACTGTATTTTCACGTCTAGATCTGTACAAAGCTTTCCATCAAATTGAATTAGATGAAGCATTACATGTAATGACAACGTTTCAGACACATATTGGACTTTTTCGGTATAAACGTCTAAATTTCAGGGTGTCCGCAGCACCGATAATTTTCCAAAACGAGCTTCGTCAAGCACTTCAATGTCTAAAAGGCATATTGAATATTGCCAACAACATCGTATGTTTTGGTAAGACACATGAGGAACACGATGCCAATCTTTGAGCTTTTCTTCAACGTCTCCAAGATCGAAACCTCACACTGAACAGCCAAAAATGTTCATTCAGACAATCTATAATCTAGTTCTACGGATACGTATACGTATTTTCCGAATCCGGAATTTCACCCGATCCTGACAAAGTAAATGCAGTGAAAAATATGGACAGACCAAAATCAATATCCGAAATCCGTTCATTTCTGGGTCTCACGAACTATTTGTCTAAGTTCATAGATGGCTATTCAAGCTTAACAGAACCATTAAGACGACTTACACATAAAGGTGTAAAATTTGAATGGACTGCCGACCAAGAAAAATCGTTCACATCATTAAAAGATACCTTAATTAGTGATAAGGTCATGACATATTTCGATCCTAGAAAGGAAACTGAACTCTGGGTCGACGGAAGTCCAGTTGGATGCTCAGGAATACTTATTCAAAACGGCAAAATAGTATCATATGGAAGCAAAGCATACAATTCGGTTCAGACGCGATATTCTCAAACAGAAAGAGAAGCTTTGAGTGCTGTCATCATGATTCAGCATTTCCATTTGTATTTATTCGGCAAGAAATTTAAACTGATAACAGATCATGCTGCACTTCAGTCAATCTTCAACAATATCAAGACAATACAATCACCAAGATTAGAACGTTGGCGTTTGAAGTTGACAACGTATGATTTTCAGACAGTTTATAGACCAGGTAAAATGATGATATCAGATTATCTTTCCAGGCATCCACATGCAAGACACGAAACAAATACAGTAGCCGAGCAGTATATCAGCTTTATTACTGATAACGCTTTGCCAGATGCATTGAAGCTGTCAGATGTAGCAAAAGCTACCGAAACGGACTGTATATTAAGCTGTGTAAGAAATGCGTTAGAACAAAATGACTGGGAAACTCAAAAATGCAAATTAGATGAAAATTTTCGGTTATACGAGAATTTGAATAAAAATCAAGAACTTGCAGTTGCATATACGGAAGATGGATTTGTGCTTTTACGGGGTACAAAACTTTGCATACCAGGAAGTCTGCAAAAACAAACTGTTATGCTTTCGCATGAAGGTCACCAAGGCCAATCAAAATGCAAAGGATTATTACGTGAGTATTGCTGGTTTCCACATATGGATAGAATGGTGGAAGAAATGTGTAGATCATGCATTGTATGCCAAGCTGCATCAACAAGAATTATTCCAGACCCGATCAAATCAACATCACTACCACGAGATGTGTTTTCTGAAGTCAGTTGTGACTTTTGTGGTCCTTTTCCAGACGGTTACATGTTACTAGTTGTTATATGTGACTACAGTAGATTTCCAGTAGTTGAAAGAATCAAATCGACAGCCGCAGATACAGTCATACCGCGATTAGAGGCGATATTTTCAATATTCGGATATCCAGAGGTAGTGAAAACGGACAATGGACCTCCGTTTCAAAGTCGCGCATTCAGAGAATTTGCTGATAATTCGGGATTCAAACATAAACGAATCACTCCATTGCACCCACAGGCAAATGGAATAGTTGAGAGATTTATGGCGCCACTGCAAAAAGCAATTAAAACAGCGATAGCGTCTAGACAAGATTATAAAAGAGCGTTAAGTAGATATCTTATGAATTTTCGGAACACACCACAAACAACTACACAAACAGCTCCTAGTGAATTAATGTTCAATCGTAAACTAAAGACAAAATTACCAAAGATGACATTTGATAACAAAGATACAGATATTCGAGACAGGGACAGTCTTTCAAAAACGAAAAACAAAATATACGCTGATGAGAAACGTAGAGCTCAGCGAAATAATTTGAAACTGGGAGATCGTGTGTTATTAAAACGGGAACAACGGAATAAGTTTGAAACAGCTTTTGACCCTACCCCCGGGATAATCATCGCTATGAAAGGATCTATGCTTACAATCAAACATAAAGGAAAAGAAATCACACGGGACGTTTCCAAATTTAGATATGTTCATGGAGATCAAGAGCCGGTGCAGACGAAACCTGCAGATAATACATCTTTACCTAGAAATAGGCCGCAGAGGAAACGCCGACCGCCGAGACGTTATGAAGATTAAAAGAAAAAAAAAGAAAATGGTTTAATCTATGATACCATTTCTCGTTACAGCTATTAGGGTTAATGACTCAAATGTGTGGGCCATAATAATGCCCTAATTATATTCGCTATCATAGCAGTGTATAATTTATATCCGCTTGCTGGATTTATTAATCTTAGGAAAAAATGATAACGTATGTGAGAACATTCTATTATTCGTGAAATTAATACTTTTGGTTTTTATTAAATTACCTTATAATTGGTTTTTGTGTGGTAGAACGGAAAAACAAATCATTCTTTTGATAACAATGCTAGTTGTTTGAACAAATGTTGTGATAATAATGTAATTTGCTTGATATTTTGTGACATTCCGAAAAATAGAAAAGATATGACAATTAACAATTACATTATATTTAACATTACTTCGTTGAAACAGATGCCTAGTACACTGATTAGAGTAAATCGCATTGGTTAATGAACTCTGCTGAAAAAGGAGAAGAGTTTATAACAATAGACTTGCTATATAGTTTATTTCATACGGAAAAAATATTTCTTATTACAATATGTTTGCACATTTAAATTTTAAGTTTTGATGATTTAAGTTTATTGATTTTATTGATGAGTTCTAAACTAAAGATAGAGGAGGATGTAGTAAGCAAGTCTACAAGATATAATAAGCCACGCCTTTAATATCAAATATCGTTATTGTTACTGTGTGTATGTTTACTTGATGTTTGGGAGTTTATGAGTGTATACTTGGATGCAACACATATAATAAAATATATAAACCATCCTTCGGGTCTTGTTTAGTTTGTGTGCTAGTAAGCCATCCAAATAGAAAATATGAATGTTACAATATCCACAGTTGGTATCTGAAATATTTGCTTCAGCTATGCCGTGCCAAGATGTCCTACCATGTGCTTTATTACGTCGCAATGTGGTTTATACCTTTTCCCATACTGGTCACAAACACAAATACTTTCTGCAAAACAAAATATTATATATATAATTTATATTTAATATATTTTTAAAATGTATAATCAATTTGTTTTTTATTTCAACGACTCTATTTAACGAGGAATTGTTTCAAACACAACCTTTTTTCCTTATTCTTAGGCCGATAACTGATCCTCTAAGAAGACATATTTACGAGACTGTTATGATACAATGTGTCAAAATTTAGTGATCTAAGTATTAGTATCGTATTTTCATTGAATTCTAACTGATAATATGAATATATGAACTTGAATAAATAATATACAGATAGTTTGAAAAAATTATAAATTCTTAACACAGCAATGTGTTTTCAAAATTTGTATATATTTAGGTCCGAGTGGGAGCATCTCTGAAGATGAGTCCGAGTGGGAGCATTTTCCATTTTTATAAAAAGAATTAAGAAAAACTGATTTCTGAATAGAAATATTTGAAACTAATCTAGAAAAATTGATAAACATGACTCGGTTTATGTTCCGGTACGTTAAAAATAAATTTCAAGAAGGTTTTCAACCTTATTTCATATATGTTTCGGGAAAAGTCCGAGTGGGAGCATTCAGAGAAAAACACTTATCCCGTTTTCAGGCTTAAACCAGGCAATAAATCTATAAACTTTTTTTACAATTATCTCAAGTACTATAGCCATTCTTTGGTGCGCTACATGATTTTTTAATACTCTTACGTTTTCTTATAAGAAAATTGTATTTTACCTTCGAATCGACGAAAAAATGGTCCAAGTGGGAGCTTTCAGCAGGTGCGCGATGACGTAGTATCCTACCATTGTATATATTACTGACTGATCAGCATAAACTTTAAACAACTATTTAAAAGGACCTAATTGGTACGAATCGTTAGTAAAACTTTCGTTCTGAGGTACAATATAATAGAATAATTTTTTCAAACGTTTCTCCGGGATGATTAGTTCTTGCTGTTGTCCGCATTCCATTAAGAATAATTTAATTTATAACTAGAGTCAAATTAAAGAGAGAAAAAACGGAATTCCTAAAAAAGGAACAAAAACATCCGCTCGACATACGGCGGTTATCATGTGACACGATGTGCCATTCCATAAAAAGCGGCGTATGGTCCTCATGTAAAATAATGCGTATCCCTAAACGAAAGAAAAAGGCGGAAATAAATAAAATGGAATTTCGACAGGGTGTCAGTGGTTATGAAATCTGCATATCACAGACAAGAGTCTAAAGATAAATTTATAAAGCAGACAACATATAATCCTAAGGTTGATGCATATTCAAGTACAAAATAGTACAGTAAACATGTAGTACTGATTTTGGATATAATTTAAATAGATTAATTCTCAATGAGTATTTTGTTTGCTTAGTGTAATATAATTAAAAGTACAAAACTTTTTATTACATTTTGAATAATAAACTAATCCTTATAATAAGATTGAATTACATATAAAACTCGTGTTTAGCTACATGTTTATTTCAAAATTATGAAACAATAATTCTAAGTGTACCTGTTCCAAAAGCATTGTTCGTCTGCCACATTTTGCCAGATAATAAGCCGTGGAAGATCCTTCAACGCCGGCCCCTACCACTATGACGTCATAAACTGTATCCGCGCCCTCCATCATTCAACTTGACACGAAAGGATTAAAACATTTTAAAATATTGCATAAAATAGATAACACTTTACATAAAGTCGTTTTTAAACATGCATATACATACAAAGTTACGTGGTATGTACACGTGATATTAAACTTCATAACATACAGGAAGGACATTTCTTTGCATCCCACCAGATAATTATTGTAAATTTTCATGACCGCAAATGTTATGAAACTATCATCTCAGGTATTCCCTCCACTTATATCTTACAAACTTCTTTCGGTATCGTTTATTATTGTTTGTAAAGCCAATCTCTTTGTATTATCATTGTCCGAGTGCGTGCGTGCACGCGTGCGTGTGTGTGTGTTTAGGTTTATTTACCTCCGCCACCGTAAACAATACCATAAGGGCGACGTTTCATTTCATTTATGAATTAACAATCTTTAGAAGGATCTGGTATTATATACCTGACACTTATATATGTGTATGTGTTTATGTGCTTACCGTATATCCCATTAAAAAGGACATCTCTTAGTACGAACAGTGATTTGGACATAGGATGGATAATTAACGGTAAACCATATATTACAGTCATATGCGCGCATGTGACCAACAACAATAGTTATTTGTGATTCTCAACAATTTTCATTATCAAATACATAGGGACCCGGCACAGTGTTGGGATTGTGTAAAAAAGTAATTCTAGAAAAAATATATAGTTTATATGTAATATATAGACATTATATATAAACTGTATTTTTTTTCTAGAATTACTTTTTTATACTATCCCACCACTGTGCACCCCGGGTCCCTTTGATCAAATACATTAAGATATCCATAAACATCAACCAGGCCTTTTTTAACTTGTCATATCTTATGCTATATAAAAGTAAACTCACTATATAAACAATTTGTTCTTATGTAACCAGAAAGACAATGTGATCATATTTTTTTATCTTTCAATGTATACCCAGTTTTTCACATAATAACATCGGTTTAAAGGGATACTCAGGCAAAATAATGGCAAAAATATAAAAATGATTTTCTGTACTCAAATCACCCTAAAATGACATTTCTTAAAGTCCCAACATGAATTTCTGTATAAATTCTATATATTTTGGGTTTGAAGTTTAAATATATCTATATATGTTGAACGCAATTTTGACGCGAACAGAATCACCGAATAGTTTAAAAACAAGTCATGCGATTTGAACAAACCCTGGAAGTTACAATAACAAATATTGTGGATATTGTATGATTGAAACAAGTCTAAGTAATTGATTTGACATGTTTTTTAACGTTTTCAGAGTACAGAGTGACAACTATTGTGAAATTTTAGCGCTCTAACCTGACCCACGTGGGTCAAGTTAGGAAAACACCATTTTATTCTTTATATGGAGAAAAGTTTTGTTCCTTTGACTGTTTAGTGTATTCATTTTGAGGACATTTACAGAATAATGAATGAAAATTTCAAAACTAAGAAATGAAAATTTTGCCTGTGTCTCCCTTTAACAGTTAGCTACATGTATTTTAATAGACGGCTTGATAACAATCTCTGGCGAATTTCAGGAATTTCATGCTTATTTAGTGAGAACAGAAAGCTGTTTACTGATAAACCCTAGAACATGTTTCAAAGGGAAGTTATTTCACATTTACCAGACATTTACTACTAAAATAAGCCATCTTTGGGCGGTAACTGGAGTTATAAGATAAACATTTAATCATTCGGAACTGCCTCGGCTATTATCTACAATATTAACCTCGGAAACAATACGGATTGAAAGTAGTTCTACCACGTGGTTTACTGATGTAAACAGAAACAGAGATAATGTAAAACGAATGTATATATGTGACACCTAATGTCTGTTCCGGTACTTTTATGCTTGAAAATATGTCCGACAACAATTTGTTATTTAAATATGCCCTCTGATGTTCAATTTTAAATAAATCCGACCAAATGTCAACAGGTTGGTTTTTTGTACTTTCGGTTTCACAGCCATATTAGTAAATATATAAATAATGTATTGTTTGCTTTTGTACCTATTAATTCACTTATTTCAGGTGGACTTTTACTACATATATTGGAAATAAACGTGTCAACAACTCCCAGCATTAAATTACTATTTGTTTACATGTTTAGTTTCTTAGCGTACATGTAGGTTAGACCGGAATACCGCATCCGTTCTGTGTATTCATACTATTGTGTTCGAGGTCCTTATCCGAAGACTGACGGAAAGGGCCGAGTAGTTGCGATTGACATTTAATAAAATAAAACATACCCCTTTTCAGTATAGAAAGTTTGGTATGCGACTATATTAACGTGCAAGTATAAATCTTGCAGTATAAATGTAGTTAGATAGTACATTGTATTGAAGTAATATCTATGTATATGTAAACACTGATAATAGCTATACATATATATGAAAACTCATAACACAGGATATTCTGCCAAGTTAAACATGTCGAATCAGGGAATTATTTATGATGCAATAGTGGTGGGAGCGGGGATTGAGGGCTCGTCAACGGCGTACCACCTTGCCAAGAGTGGTAAAAAGACATTACTTCTTGAACAGGTATTTATCTGTTTATAATACAATAAATAAACTAATAATAACAAAATGTTACACCTTATATCATGTACTAAATGATTTTAACAACACGGAGGTTAAACGTTATAATTTAATATTCAGGTGAAAGTCATGTATATACAAGTGTGCATGAATCAAATAATCAATTCGAAAGTGTCAACGGTTTATATAAACACATTTATTATTATCGGTGGAGAAATTTTGCATACGTATACACAACATGTCAATAAATCTTGATTTTGGAAAATAAATGGATTCTAAATTTCGTCAATTCGGTTTGATTTGTTGCAAATAAAATAAATAAAGCGTAAATAACAAACGCTCACCTTCCTTAATAATTGAAGAACATTACAACGATTTTCACAATTGGCATAAAGAACTTTTCGTAAATCTCTTGCTCAATGGTTTATAAATTAAAGGCCCATAATGTCCAAGACATGCTTTTATTTTTATTTCTCAAACATTTTACATTTTAGTGTCCTGTTATAGTTTTAAAAAATACTCATATTGGCCGGTTAAAAATACTCATATTGGCCGGTTAAAAATACTCATTGGCCGGTTAAAAATACTCATTGGCCGGTTAAAAATACTCATTAGCCGGTTAAAAATACTCATATTGGCCGGTTATTTTAACCATATTTTGCTTCATATTTTGCTTCTGTTTTAGTACAGTACTTAACAATGATTTGAGCCGCGTCACGACAAAACCAACATAATGGGTTTGCGACCAGCATGGATCCAGACCAGCCTGCGCATCGGCGCACTCTGATCAGGATCCATGCTTACATGACCGCTTACAGACCCTATAACAAGTCAAGAAACTGATAGCGAACAGCATGGATCCTGACCAGACTGCGCGGATGCGCAGGCTGGTCTGGATCCATGCTGGTCGCAAACCCATTATGTTGGTTTCGTCATGACGCGGCTCATTTAGTATTTCGTATAAAAGTCAAAATTCTACCTTGTTTACATTGTCCTACGTTTATGACATTCATCGTTACATTCTTCAGGCGGTTATCTTAACCATTATTTAAACGATACTCATATACTACCTGAATGCTTTCAGATCAAAATAATTGATTAAGATATTGTACCAAACCATAGGAAGCCCCACCCCCCTTAATTGTACCATACGAACGCCTTTATTCCGTTTTCAGTTCCCATTACCACACAGTAGGGGAAGTTCCCATGGACAGTCCCGGATCACGAGGAAGGCGTACGGGCCTCAGGAACACTACACGATTATGATGGAAGAGTCGTACAGACTAACGGACGTACTAGAATCAGAATGCGGGGAACAACTCTTCATGCAAGTATTGTTTATTGATTTGCTTATCATTATATCATTCATTCGTCCGTTCGACCATCATTCCGTTCGTTCATTCGTTCGGTCGTTCACCCATTTACTAAACAGATTTGAAACAACCGCATACTTATATTAAGTTGTTGTTTTTTTAATAGAAACTGCGGCTGTCTTGCTTTCGGTCCAAAAGATCACCCTTTTGTTTCCGGTGCAGTGGAGGCTTTGTCACGTCACGGTGCCCCGCATGATGTTTTCAACGTTGAGGAGCAACGCAGAAGATATCCGTATTTGGCGTTACCGAGTGATTTTAAAGTTGTTCTTGACAAAACAGGAGGACTTCTTAGAGCTGATAAAATTTTGCAAGCGTTTCAGGTAAATATTAAATAATGTAAAATACATTTTTTAAAAACGTTTTGATGACAAACCCGTGCGTGATGAAGTTGTCTGCACGAAGTTCCGGTTAGTGCTAGATCTATACACATTTAGCTTCCTCAACAATAATAGGAATAAAATCAGAAGTAACAGAAACTTATGGAGCTTTATATAAAAGTTTTGAGCATTGTACAAAGTACATGAACATCATATTACAAAATATTATCCTTCAAGTATTTCAAATATAAATCAGGTACGCAGTAGTCAAATTAATGGTAGTAAAGTAAAGGGTATTTTTACTCCTTGATTTGAGCCGTGTCACGACAAAACCAACATAATGGGTTTGCGACCAGCATGGATCCAGACCAGCCTGCGCATCCGCGCAGTCTGATCAGGATACATGCCGTTCGCTATCAGTTTCTCTACTTGTAATAGAGTTGGAAAGCGAACAGCATGGATCCTGATCAGACTGCGCGGATGCGCAGGCTGGTCTGGATCCATGCTGGTCGCAAACCCATTATGTTGGTTTTGTCGTGACACGGCTCATTTATAATCGTGCAAACGCATATAAACCGGTCGGAAGCCGCACATATTCAGATGACATCTAGTTTGGTCCAGATGTTATCTCAATTTATCTGTTCTAGATCTGTAACCTTTTTTGTGCTAAATATCTTACATGAACCCGCTCACCTTTCATTCTGGACAAGACCATTCTTTATTTGAAGTGAAAATTTCAAAACATATACAGACTAAATAGTGAACAGTGCAGACCATGATCCGACTGCACAGATGTGCCGTTTGATGTTGATCTGTACTGAGACAATGATAAGGGTAGAATCAGTTGCTGGGACTGTTTTTCTTGAGCACAATTTCAAAACTAATTGTCCTAGAAATGAAATTTTATGAAACACATGTGTTTGTAAAAATGTTCTTTACACAATAAACAAGTGTCTTTATCTTACTTTAAAGTTATAAAAGCCCACAGATAAAGAGGTAATTTCATATCGCACGTAGAATATCATTGTTTTATTTATATAGAACATACATGTGTAATGTTTGACAAACATACTTGGATCAATAATTTACTAAGTCGTTGTTAATACCTAAATATTTCATACTGCAACAGTTTTCATTAACTATGTTAAATACTGGAAAAAAATCTCCCGAGTTATATTGCTTAATTTCATATTAATTTATATTTCCAATGCGATGTACTGTATTCAGATTTATTATGTACTAGTAAGTAGTAACTGCTATGTGTAATTAGTAATTTAATTCTGCAGAGTATTCGCAAGAAATTTAGAGCGTCAATGGAAAGCACTTTCATTAAAACATTAACATTAACATTACCCCCTCCCCACCCATTCCACAGGAGTTAACTGTATATAAAGCATCATTTTAAAATGTTAATATCGTTTTTGTACAGAAACAGTTTCAACGTTTTGGTGGCACTTTACTTGACGGGGAACCTATGTTAGACCTTTATCCTGGGGATATAGTATCAATTAAGACCACAAAAGGAGTTCATAGGGCAAGAAGTGTTGTGCTGGCCCTTGGTGCATGGGCAGCTAAGTTCTTGCCTCGCATTGGAGTCAATGTGCCTTTGGAGGTAAATCTTATTAAATTGTTTTTTTTAACTGTTGAATAATTTTCTATTCTGCATTAATAGAAACAATATTCAACAATAAGTTGTGGAGAAGGGAATAGCAAATACATTTTTGTAAATCCTCGGTATTGGCTATGAAAAAGAAAAGAAAAAAGGCCAAAACAACAATATCAACAACAACAACAACAACAACAACAGAGATATGACATTTTCAGATAAGAAAACTTTGGTGTTAAGTAACTAAGGTACATGACTTTCTAGGGCAGTTATTTTAGCAATTTTAAATGAGATTTTCTACATTGGAGGATGAGCAATCTGCTTTTCTAATTTTAGTGCATGTTTAACATGTTAAATATTTTACTCATTTAAACTAGTGAAAAAAATGGAGCTATTATGATCACTGCGGCGTCGTTGTTTTCATCGCACAAAGAAACTTTAATGGAGCTCATTACTTAAACAGTTTTGAAGTTTTGAAACTTGGTATGCTTGCTTAGCATGACAATGTGCAGTTGTTAGACATAAGGCATTCTTTTGAAAGCTATGCCCCTTTTTAATTTAGAATATTTGTCAGAAGTGGTTTTTTCAACAAACGAGCGTTAACACCGCATACAGTGCTCTTGCTTGTATGATATTTTGAACTCGGTTTACAACTTAATTTTAGTTATCGGAGTAAATCAATCAACATATTTATTTATAGCCATTGAAGATAACAGTGTGTTATTGGGAGGAAAAGAATGGAAAACATTTCAGTATTGAGAATTTTCCGACTTTTATGTCCGAATCCGGTACCGGTAATAACACCATTTATGGTCTCCCATCTGAAGAGTACCCAGGCCTTGTCAAGGTATAAACATCTATTTAATTTCAATTCATCGTTATTATTCATGATGTTAAACAGTGACACAGAAATATGTCCAGTTTCATCAATTTCAGTTGAAAACATCTTAATACATGTCCTTTCATTGTATGTTTATGGAAAACTTAAAGAATTGCAATTGACCACTAGAGTCATAACTCCCACTAGATGTTAATATCATAGACCCAACAACTGGATATTTATGTCATAGCTCCCCCCACCCCCCACCCCCTGTTTTAAAAACTATAGGAATGTTCTATCGTCATTATTATTTGTACTTAAAAAAATAACAAAAACTGCACTATGAAAAAAAACTCTTTGGTGTGAGGTGACAAGTCCCTTTTTTTTACTAAAAATCGGGCAACTTTTCGCTTAAAATGCCTATATATCTACGCGAACAAAGCATTGATATATATATTTTTCAGATATGCCTTCATCACGGTCCTGCTATTGATCCGGATAATAGGGACGGTGTAGATAATCAATGGGTTTTAGACACAATAAAGATGATTGTTCATACACACTTCCCAACATTGGAAAAAGAACCAAGAATTGTTGAAACATGTATATACACGGTAAAGTGTTTTTGTTTGACACAAATTTTTGTCTATACAACATGTGGTAAATAAGGGTAGAAATTTTGATGAAGTTAGCACAATAAGCTGGGTTTTTATTTATTCATATGACTTGGGAAGACCATCTGTCCAATCGCGGAAGATTTTTACGTCATCCAATGTTGGATGGTGCATTGTGAATCATTTAAACTAGTATGTTATAAAATCATTATGTAAAGGATGATTTGAGCGAATAACTAAGAAAGCAATTTGACAATTAGTGTTTCATAAGTCACCAAGGAGTATCATCAGCAATATTACTCTCATCTCTCCCATCAAAACCTAATTCAGCTTCCGGAAAACATTTTCCCCGACATGTCCGATATCTCCAGTAAGCTTCCCCTTTTCAAACCTTTCAAAACCAGCAAACGGTTTAGCATGTTTGCCGTTTATTTTGCAAATAGGCCATCTGAGTTGTTCTTTGAGTTCGTTATAAACAAATTAACTGGATTCCTAAACAAGTGCCCCAATGATAATTCTTATGAATTGTAGGTAGTACTAAATACATGTATTTATAAATATTTTATAATCTTATGCAAATATATTTTTCAAAATGATGAATCATTTTCTGAATCATTTTCCAGAATACACCGGACAAAGATTTCATTCTTGACCTTCACCCGTCTTGGAAAAATGTCGTCATCGCAGCTGGGTTTTCAGGTATTTGTCTTCAAAAATGACATTAATGGTCATACCAAGTAAACGAATTTCAAAGACGACCTCATCATATTAGAAGAGATTGTCAACAGTTTTTTTTCTTCTAAACTTTGAAACCGTCACTTCTGTTAAGATACTTTTAAGAGTTATCTCCCTTTGTGATTGTGGCGAGACGAAACCAAAAATCTTTCATATATTGCATAGAGGTTATATGCAGAATTAAAGTAACCCTCTTGAGGTCCATAAAATAACCTGAAATTTTGCACACAAATAGACCTACATAAAATTGTACACAAATCTAGAAAAATATCCAATCCTGTTATGTCAGTGGGGTTTCTTTAGGTAATTTCTTATATTTATTTGGATTTTTACGGCGCACCGACACAATATACGTCATATGGTGCCGGAACAGGAAATAGGTTTTGCTTCACCTCTAAAGCAACAAACCACCTCACCGAGATGCATAAACTAGTAATACGAACCCATTTAGGCGCCTCTTGCGACCACGGAAAGACGAATAGTAGTGGCTGCAATTGTGAAAGCCAACCCTCAGCCACAAGGAAGATTTCTGATGCAACAGGAGAAAGAATATTGAATTTGTTTTTGAAATTGAATATTGAAAATGTTTCTTTTTAAAAGTTTCTAATTTGAAACAACTTCAAATCAGACTTCAGGTGTAAAACAATTTTTTTCTGTGTTTCTGTAAAGTCATAGAAAAATATACACATATATATAACTCTATGTTAGTAAATTTATCATAGAATGAACGCGGCATAAGTACGGAAGCGTCCTGGTGCCAATTCATAATGTTCTTTAAAGAAATAGGAGATAAAAAAGCCTAATAAGGAGTATATAACTCCTACGTAGGACTTATATAATAACAAGAATAAGAGATATAAAGTCCAACGTAGGAGTTTAAAAGTCCTACGTAGGAGTTATAAACTCCTAATTAGACTTTTTTTATCTCATACGTAGGAATTATAAAGTCCTACGTAGGACTTATAAACTCCTACGTAGGAGTTATAAAAAACCTACGTAGGACTTTATAAGTCCTACGTAGGAGTTACAAACTCCTAATTCTCCTACGTAGGAGTTTATTTTTAGCTCACCTGACCACGAAGTGGTCATGGTGAGGTATAGTGATGGGGCTATGTCCGGCGTCCGTCGTCGTGCGTTGTGCGTCGTGCGTTGTGCGTCGTTCGTCGTCAACAATTGGGTTGTTAACAGTCTAGCAGTCACAGTTTTGATTGGATCATCATCAAACTTTGTCAGAATGTTTGTCTCAATGAAATACAGATCGAGTTCGAAGATGGGTTATCTCGGGTCAAAAACTAGGTCACAGGAGCTAAAAATAGAAAAAAGCTTGTTAACACTCTAGAGGCTGCAGTTTTCATCCAAATATTCTGGAAATTTGTCAGGAAGGTTGTTTTGATGATATCTAGGTCAAGTTCGAAGATGGGTCATCTCTGGTCAAAAACTAGGTCACGAGCTAAAAATAGAAAAAGCTTGTTAACACTCTAACAATTGGGTTGTTAACAGTCTAGCAGTCACAGTTTTGATTGGATCATCATCAAACTTTGTCAGAATGTTTGTCTCAATGAAATACAGATCGAGTTCGAAGATGGGTTATCTCGGGTCAAAAACTAGGTCACAGGAGCTAAAAATAGAAAAAGCTTGTTAACACTCTAGAGGCTGCAGTTTTCATCCAAATATTCTGGAAATTTGTCAGGAAGGTTGTTTTGATGATATCTAGGTCAAGTTCGAAGATGGGTCATCTCTGGTCAAAAACTAGGTCACGAGCTAAAAATAGAAAAAGCTTGTTAACACTCTAATAATTGGGTTGTTAACAGTCTAGCAGTCACAGTTTTGATTGGATCATCATCAAACTTTGTCAGAATGTTTGTCTCAATGAAATACAGATCGAGTTCGAAGATGGGTTATCTCGGGTCAAAAACTAGGTCACAGGAGCTAAAAATAGAAAAAGCTTGTTAACACTCTAGAGGCTGCAGTTTCATACAAATATTCTGGAAATTTGTCAGGAAGGTTGTTTTAATGATTTCTAGGTCAAGTTCGAAGATGGGTCATCTCCGGTCAAAAACTAGGTCACAGGAGCTAAAAATAGAAAAAGCTTGTTAACACTCTAGTGGCTGCAGTTTTCATCCAAATATTTTGGAAATTTGTCAGGAAGGTTGTTTGATGATATCTAGGTCAAGTTCGAAGATGGGTCATCTCCGGTCAAAAACTAGGTCACAGGAGCTAAAAATAGAAAAAGCTTGTTAACACTCTAGTGGCCGCAGTTTTCATCCAAATATTCTGGAAATTTGTCAGGAAAGTTGTTTTGATGGTTTCTAGGTCAAGTTCAAAGATGGGTCATCTCCGGTCAAAAACTAGGTCACAGGAGCTAAAAATAGAAAAAGCTTGTTAACACTCTATAGGCTGCAGTTTTCATCCAAATATTCTGGAAATTTGTCAGGAAGGTTGTTTAGATGATATCTAGGTCAAGTTTGAAGATGGATCATGTCTGGTCAAAAACTAGGTCACAGGAGCTAAAAATAGAAAAAGCTTGTTAACACTCTAGTGGCTGCAATTTTCATCCAAATATTTTGGAAATTTGTCAGGAAGGTTGTTTTGATTTTATCTAGGTCAAGTTCGAAGATGGGTCATGTCTGGTCAAAAACTAGGTCACAGGAGCTAAAAATAGAAAAAGCTTGTTAACACTCTAGTGGCTGCAATTTTCATCCAAATATTTTGGAAATTTGTCAGGAAGGTTGTTTTGATTTTATCTAGGTCAAGTTCGAAGATGGGTCATGTCTGGTCAAAAACTAGGTCACAGGAGCTAAAAATAGAAAAAGCTTGTTAACACTCTATAGGCTGCAGTTTTCATCCAAATATTCTGGAAATTTGTCAGGAAGGTTGTTTAGATGATATCTAGGTCAAGTTTAAAGATGGATCATGTCTGGTCAAAAACTAGGTCACAGAAGCTAAAAATAGAAAAAGCTTGTTAACACTCTAGTGGCTGCAGTTTTCATCCAAATATTCTGGAAATTTGTCAGGAAGGTTGCTTAGATAATATCTAGGTCAAGTTGGAAGATGGGTCATCTCCAGTCAAAAACTAGGTCACAGGAGCTAAAAATAGAAAAAGTTTGTTAACACTCTAGTGGCTGCAGTTTTCATCCAAATATTCTGGAAATTTGTCAGGAAGGTTGTTTTGATGATATCTAGGTCAAGTTGGAAGATGGGTAATGTCCGGTCAAAAACTAGGTCACAGGAGCTAAAAATAGAAAAAGCTTGTTAACACTCTAGTGGCTGCAGTTCTCATCCAAATATTCTGGAAATTTGTCAGGAAGGTTGTTTTGATGATATCTAGGTCAAGTTGGAAGATGGGTCATGTCCGTTCAAAAACTAGGTCACAGGTGCTAAAAATAGAAAAAGCTTGTTAACACTCTAGTGGCTGCAGTTTTCATCCAAATATTTTGGAAATTTGTCAGGAAGGTTGTTTTGATGATTTTCAGGTCAAGTTCGAAAGATGGGTTATCACCGGTCAAAAACTAGGTCACAGGAGCTAAAAATAGAAAAAGCTTGTTAACACTCTAGTGGCTGCAGTTTTGATTAAAATATTCTGGAAATTTGTCAGGAAGGTTGTTTTAATGATTTCTAGGTCAAGTTCGAAGATGGGTCATGTCTGGTCAAAAACTAGGTCACAGGAGCTAAAAATAGAAAAAGCTTGTTAACACTCTAATGGTTGCAGTTTTCATCCAAACATTCTGGAAATTTGTCAGAAAGGTTGTTTTGATGATTTCTAGGTCAAGTTCGAAGATGGGTCATGTCTGGTCAAAAACTAGGTCACAGGAGCTAAAAATAGAAAAAGCTTGTTAACACTCTATAGGCTGCAGTTTTCATCCAAATATTCTGGAAATTTGTCAGGAAGGTTGTTTAGATGATATCTAGGTCAAGTTTAAAGATGGATCATGTCTGGTCAAAAACTAGGTCACAGAAGCTAAAAATAGAAAAAGCTTGTTAACACTCTAGTGGCTGCAGTTTTCATCCAAATATTCTGGAAATTTGTCAGGAAGGTTGCTTAGATAATATCTAGGTCAAGTTCGAAGATGGGTCATCTCTGGTCAAAAACTAGGTCACAGGAGCTAAAAATAGAAAAAGTTTGTTAACACTCTAGTGGCTGCAGTTTTCATCCAAATATTCTGGAAATTTGTCAGGAAGGTTGTTTTGATGATATCTAGGTCAAGTTGGAAGATGGGTAATGTCCGGTCAAAAACTAGGTCACAGGAGCTAAAAATAGAAAAAGCTTGTTAACACTCTAGTGGCTGCAGTTCTCATCCAAATATTCTGGAAATTTGTCAGGAAGGTTGTTTTGATGATATCTAGGTCAAGTTGGAAGATGGGTCATGTCCGGTCAAAAACTAGGTCACAGGTGCTAAAAATAGAAAAAGCTTGTTAACACTCTAGTGGCTGCAGTTTTCATCCAAAATATTTTGGAAATTTGTCAGGAAGGTTTTTTTGATGATTTTCAGGTCAAGTTCGAAGATGGGTTATCACCGGTCAAAAACTAGGTCACAGGAGCTAAAAAATAGAAAAAGCTTGTTAACACTCTAGTGGCTGCAGTTTTGATTAAAATATTCTGGAAATTTGTCAGGAAGGTTGTTTTAATGATTTCTAGGTCAAGTTCGAAGATGGGTCATGTCTGGTCAAAAACTAGGTCACAGGAGCTAAAAATAGAAAAAGCTTGTTAACACTCTAATGGTTGCAGTTTTCATCCAAACATTCTGGAAATTTGTCAGAAAGGTTGTTTTGATGATTTCTAGGTCAAGTTCGAAGATGGGTCATCTCAGGTCAAAAACCAGGTTACAGGAGCTAAAAATAGAAAAATCTTGTTAACACTCTAGTGGCTGCATTTTTTATCCAAATATTCTGGAAAGTTGTCAAGGTTGTTTTGATGTTCGAAGATAAGTCATCTTCGGTCAAAAACTAGGTCACAGTAGCTAAAAATAGAAAAGCTTGTTAACACTCGAGTGGCTGCAGTTTTGATCCAAATATTCTTGAAATTTGTCAGGAAGGTTGTTTTGATGATATCTAGGTCAAGTTCGAAGATGGGTTATCTCCGGTCAAAAACTAGGTCACAGGAGCTAAACATAGAAAAAGCTTGTTAACACTCTAGTGGCTGCAGTATTGATTCAAATATTCTGGAAATTTGTCAGGAAGGTTGTTTTGATGATTTCTAGGTCAAGTTCGAAGATGGGCCATCTCAGGTCAAAAACTAGGTCACAGGAGTTAAAAATAGAAAAAGCTTGTTTACACTCTAGTGGCTGCAGTTTTTATTCAAATATTCAGGAAATTTGTCAAGAATGTTGTTTTGATGTTTTCTGGGTCAAGTGCTAAGATTGGTCATGTCTGGTCAAAAACTAGGTCACAGGAGCTAAAAATAGAAAAATCTTTTTAACACTCTAGTGGCTGCAGTTTTGATCCAAATTTCCTGGAAATTGGTCAGGAAGGTTGTTTTGATGATTTCTAGGTCAAGTTTGAATATGGGTCGTGTCCAGTCAGAAATTAGGTCACATTGCCCAAATATGGAAAAATCTTTATGACACACTAGAGGTCACATGTTTGACTCAGTTGCATCAAACTTGGTCATGATGCTTGTTTAAGACATTGCTTGGATGCGGTTGTGTCAGGTGAGCGATCCAGGGCCATCATGGCCCTCTTGTTTATAGAACATTATGAATTGGCACCAGGACGCTTCCGTATTACATAAACGATTGTACTTATCAACTGTCAAACAAACATCAAAATAGAAGCAATAACTTTAACAACCTTTTGTATTTCATTTTGTAGGTCACGGGTTCAAACTTGCTCCAGTGGTTGGCAAGGTTCTGTCACAGCTTGCAACCGGCCAGAAACCAGCGTACGATATGTCACATTTTAAGATTGATAGATTCTTCAAAAATAAGCTGTAACATTATATACACTGACACAATAAGATTTGTTACGTGTGGCTTATTTCATGTTCACAAACTTATATATTATAGTCTTCTTATTTTTTTTCTTCATAAAATGTTATATTTTGTATACATTTATTGTAACCTCGAATTGCACGTGATTATGTTTTTGTTGTTGTTGAAATAAACGAATATTATTTTAATCGAGTCCGAAAGAACACAAGAAATAAGCTTCGGATATGATTATACATGTATTTAGAAAAGGGTTTAAATATAGATCAGCTCTAAAAGTTGAATAAAAATCTTTTAAAATTGTGCTAGACTTTCTTTTTACCGACAAGAGTGTGATATAATTTATAAAATGGAATAATATGTAGTGCAGAACCCAATTTTTATTTTGACTGGTAGAAAAAACAACAATATACATGCATATACACTAATGTACACAATCGTAAAACATCATTTGTCCGATATGTTTTCATTACACTGTTAAAAATCATATAAGTAATTTTGTAATACATGTACAACTTTAGTAAGACAAGAAAAAGTAAAATCGGGATAATTTGTATCAGGATTTTTACCTTTAAGTATCCTACAACTCAATTCTGAAAAAAGGGTTGTAGAGGCTTATTCTTCTTGAACGATACCTTTGAGAAATGTGTTGGCGTAGAATATACTTGAAGTGACATTATGTTCATTTATAACTACATGTTCAAAAATTGACTTTTATAAAGACGATTGACAAATGATTGAAAGTAAAAAAATATTAAACAACATAGATCTAGATTCTATATTATAAAAAGACTGCCCACTCTTTTAAAAAAATAACGCTACTGATACATTGTGAACAATATTTATACAATTTCCGTGGGTCTAGGGATAATTTTTGCATTATAAAATATAAAATTGAACAGTTACGTCCAATATATAAAGTTCTTTTAGTTTTACCTGTGCATTCCTCATTTACACTTAGATGGGCATAAAGTCACTTAAAAACTATTTAAAAGTAATTAGAAATGACACCACATGTGCACATATAAAAAAGATACTCTTGCATAATAACCAACTAAATAGGATAATTTCAACGTTTGGTACATTGTATGCAGGTATAACAATGTCAACGATTACAATTGCGTAAAATTATTGTAAAGAATACCGGCTTATTTAAAAATCAAAGGGCTGCAGCTCTATGGTATTTTCTGATCTTTGCAATCTAAATCATACTGACTATCTGTATGTACTTTCCTGTATAAGTTTATTTTTATATACTATAATTCATCTTACGCAGCGACAGCGTTTTGATTTTCTTCTATAACAGTTTGAGATTGATACATATGGAATTTTGCATGAAAAAAAATAGAATTGCCAACCATAGGCCTCTCACACCCTCAACGAGACTGCTTACCTCTGCACCACGGCGAAGTAATACATATGTACCTTGAATAAAAACGAATACATTATGTAATTCTAAATTGAGAATTTCCATTTCATGTTTGCAATCCTTATTAATTTCGAGGTATTTTGTTCACGATAAACCTGTTGTTTAAACTGATGAAAATAATTTAGCGAAAATCTTCTCGCCAAAACAGTCCGACATGTATATATTCCACTACTCGACGGTCAGATTTTTTGTGTACTACGCTCTGGAGTATTCGGTAATCGACATAGCTAAAAATAGCATTTTCATTGATTAAAATGATATTCATGATAATCCGAAGCTTTACGGAAATAGCCGAACATTTTTCATTGGGTAAAAAAGATATTCATCCGCGAAATTTGTGATTGTAACCTCATATTTCTATTGACTAATCTAAACTTTTAATGCACTGTAATTCGTTAAATGTCTACATTAAAAATTATTCTTTCTTTTAAATTGCTGGTTTTTAAGCAGTTTTGAGTGAGAACTACTTTGCGTTGTTAGGACTGTGTTAGACCGTGGATGTTAGCTATGTATTTACTGATCTTACGATCAGAAAATACAAAAAGTAAGGTGTCCAAAGAGGCAGATCTATTTTTGAAATTCCATCTTTCGCTTCTGTGAATATGATCTGCACAGGAAACTTTTATAAAGCTAGCATCTAACGAGCTTGATAAACAGTTTTAATACATATGTTACTATATATAGTAACAAAATTTAGGGTATTTTAAAACCATTATGAGAAATCTAGGTCATTATGTAATTTCGTTGGCATTTTTTCTCCATGCAAAGAAATGAACGCACGTGCAAGATGACGTTAACAACTGTCACTGAAAAATGGCTGCTGTCGTTGAATCGCAAGTTAAGATTGTTAGAGGCGGTTGTGAATAGTGTGTATTAGGTATATACAATTGTATTTCAAATGTCTGTCTTTATAATGGTCATTTACGAAATATCAAAATTTAAAAAATGGTAAGGATAAAACTGCCTAAAATTAAAATACTGTCCCAGGTTGTTGATTATCTTTGTGAAGTAGGATACAAAATTAAAGACAATTTTGTCAAATGTTCAGTTGTTTTTTTTTTACCTGTGTACTCATCATATACACTTTAGATGGGCTGAAAGTCATTTTAAACGTGCGATAGATGTCGCTATATTTCCTTTGCTTGCTACTTTAAGGAATAAAATGAATGAAAAGGTTGTTACAATAGATTTTGTCCAAATCTCACAGGCGAGATTTTAAGTGGACTCCTTAAGTTGTTTTTTGTGCACGTATAATATTGCTTAAATTACTGAAATATGCCTTTGTCGCAACCCTATTAAATGGAGTGTTTCCTAACTTTGTGCTGATATACACTGTGTAATTTTATTAAATAAAGCATTAAATAAATTTACAAATTAAATAACTAAATAACTATCAAAGGAGTATCTGAAGACCAGTCGTTGAAAACGGCAAGACTTTGTTTTTACTAGGTAAAAATATTCAGGTAGAAAACGTCAAGGCACGGAATATTTTGTACAAATCTTGCACGTCAATAGAATATTAGGGTAAGTTCATTTCAATATATACATGTAATATATTCCGGAAATGACTAATTCACCTAGTGTTTAGTGTTCTATTCTGTTTGATATACTGATAACTGTACATGTATATTCTGATACAGTCAGCTCACTTCTGTTTCCGTCCTCATCTCGGATCATACGAAATCACACGATATTTTACAAACATGTGCAGTGCCCAGAGAACATTCATTTTAAAAGATTCATTTGCAAGCTGTAAGGTAAGAAATATTTGTATTAATTTATACTTTTATTTTATGCTTTTGAGTAAATTACTGATTCCGTGAAAATTATTTTTGATAAATTCACAGTGAAAATTATCAAAATATAAGTCCACACTTTTCAATGACGAGACTACTTTTTAAAGATTCCCCCTTAGGGTACATGAATTTTATTTTTGTTTGCAATTATGACATTGTCAGGGCTGTTTGGAGAAAAGCAAAGCTCAAATTGAAAAAAAAAAAAACACTTAAACTTCTAAAGTAATAAATATTAAAAACACAATTCAATTCATTCAAATTACTAATCACCAAATTTCGTCTTTATTTTTTCCTTTCATTTACACTTCCTTCGCCATGTTAAACTGCTCTTCATGACATCCGGGCATTTTAACCTTTTATCGCATGAGCATGCATATTGTGAAAATGGCCGTTTTCATTGAAAAACCTCCTGTTACAAGTTAAAACTGCTATAAAACTATGAAAAATGCTTCAATATTGATGAAACTTGGCACAAATATTGACTGGAATACCTAAATTTCCTGTTACCATGGCAACGGGGGGACGTCTCAAAATTGCGAAAAATCACTTTTTAGTCCCCTACCGGTTTACCGGAGGGGACTTTAGGTTTACCCTCCGTCCGTCTGTCCGTCTGTCCGTCCGTCTGTCCGTCTGTCTGTCTGTCAGTCCGTCCGTCCACAAAACTGGATCCCGCGATAACTTGAAAAGTACTGAAAATATTTTTATGAAACTTGGTATATGGATAGATGGCAGTATGGAGATTATGCACGTCTTTTTCTTTTCTTCCTATGTTGAAAATTCTGGTTGCTATGGCAACAAATAGGCTGAAAATATGGCAAATTTTACACATAAACTGGATCCAGTGATAACGCAAAAAGTACTGGAAATATTTTTATGAAACTTTACATATGGGTAGATGGCAGTATTGAGATTATGCACGTCTTTTTCTTTTCTTCCTATGTTGAAAATTCTGGTTGCTATGGCAACAAATATGCTGAAAATATGGCAAATTTTACACATAAACTGGATCCAGTGATAACGCAAAAAGTACTGGAAATATTTTTATGAAACTTGACATATGGGTAGATGGCAGTCTTGAAATTATGCACGTTTTTTTCTTTTCTTCCTATGTTGAAAATTCTGGTTGCTATGGCAACACATAGACTGAAAATATGGCAAATTTTACACATAAACTGAATCCAGTGATAACTCAAAAAGTACTGGAAATATTTTTATGAAACTTTACATATGGGTAGATAGCAGTCTTGAGATTATGCATGCCTTATCTGTTCTTCCTATTTTGAAAAAATATCAGTTGCCTTGGCAACAAATAGGCTTAAAACATGGCAAATATAACAATATTTGTGATTAGTCAAAAAGAGCTGAACATTTTTATGAAATTGCATCTTTAATTCAAGAGTTATCTCCTCTTTAAGAATTTTGCTTTTTAAAAATGGTATATTTTGGTAACAGGGATGTTTCAAATATTAACTTTAGAGTGTCTTTCAGTCCGTCTGTCTGTCTGTTCATAAAAACTGTATCCTGTGATCACTTTTAAAGAACTTTTCCAACAAATTTTCTTAAAATAGAGAAAAATTGAAAAATTAGTGGATGGCCAATGGCCCTTCAGAATGTTGATGGGGTTCTAACCGGTAGGGGACTTATGGATTGCTTGCAATACTATGATAATTGCTTGTTTGCATTGTTTTCTCCCATCAAAACTGACTTCAAAGTACTGCAACTTCTCAATGGATTGAGATAGAGTAAAAGGCTTTTCAGCGTTGGTTACACCGTTTGTTGTGTAAGATGTAATTTTATTTCATCGAGTGAGCTTTAATTAAAATCAGTATTCTCGCGAGTGCCATCTTACAAAAAAAAACCAAACATGTACCCTTTTATATATGTAATTGTCAAATATCAATCAAGTATTCGGAACGCTTCTTCGATTACTCATTTTTCCTTATCGTAAGTTTGACAGAAAAGACCGAAAAGACATGACGAAACTACGATGGTGAAAACGCGACAGTACGATGATGAAAACACGACAGTACGATAACGAAAACGATAATACGACAGTACGATGATGAAAATACGATAAACTATCGTGTTTTCATCATCGTACTTCCGCGTTTTCACCATCGTTATATCGTGATTTCGCGTTTTTATCATCGTACTGTCGTGTTTTCATCATCATACTATCGCGTTTTCACCATCGTACTATCGCGTTTTCATCATCGTACTGTCGTGTTTTCACCATCGTACTATCGCGTTTTCACAGTCGTACTGTCGTGTTTTAATCATCGTACTATCGCGTTTTAATCATCGTACTATCGCGTTTTCATCATCGTTCTATCGCGTTTTCATCATCGTACTATCGCGTTTTCATCATCGTACTATCGCGTTTTCATCATCGTAGTATCATACTGTCGCGTTTTCATCATCGTACTATCGCGTTTTCATCATCTTACTATCGCGTTTTCATCATCGTACTATCGTGATTTCGCGTTTTCACCATCGTACTATCGACAACCGCGTTTCAGATCAACACATTCATAGGCGATGGCCCTAACGGCATTCCGGAATGCCTTTAGGGCCATCGGCTTTGAATGGTTTGATCTGAAACGCGATACTCGACAGTACGATGATGAAAACGCGAAATCACGAAACTACGATGGTGAAAACGCGACAGTACGATGGTGAAAACACGATAGTTTATCGCGTTTTCATCATCGTAGTATCATACTGTCGCGTTTTCATCATCGTACTATCGCGTTTTCATCATCGTACTTTCGCGTTTTAACCATCCTGTTTTCGTGATTTCGCGTTTTCACCATCGTACTATCGACTATCGCGTTTCAGATCAAACCATTCAAAGCCGATGGCCCTAAAGGCATTCCGGAATGCCGTTAGGGCCATCGCCTATGAATGTGTTGATCTGAAACGCGGTAGTCGATAGTACGATGGTGAAAACGCGAAATCACGATAGTGCGATGATGAAAACGCGATATTTCAATAATTTTGGATAAATTTTTGAGTTTATACATGCATATTTTAAATTAACGAACTGACTCACTCATGAATAGAAAGTGAGGTTACTTAAAGGTCAATAAAGCCCCAAAATGCCCTGATTCTTTATTTCTCAAAACCTTCATTAGTTTTGATGTTACAGTTTCAATATGCACCCATTCGAACGTGTGTGTTTTTTAGACCTTTAGTTAGGTTAAAATAGTGATTAAGCACTTTGATTTGAAGACAAAATATCACCTTGTTTTTGCTTCCACTTTTATTTCACAATGCTTCTTTCTTCACGTGGTAAAACATTTAACATGCTCTAATTCATTAAAAAAACACATTTGCCTTTTCTTCAAAATGATAGTATAGTCAGTGTATCATTAATTTTTATTTTCCAATCATTGTCTGGCAAGTCAATGTGTCTATAACCTGGCAGAAACGACTTTCACATTTCAGATTTGTCTACACAATGGCTCGACCACGGACCCAGACAAACGGGACGGCACGGAAAATGACTGGGTTTTAGACATTATGAAACGCATAATTAAAGCTCATTTTCCTACTTTAGAGGCAGAACCGTCTATAGTAGAGACATGTATCTATACAGTAAATATAATACGTTTTTTTTTTCGTCTGATGATTTTTACAATAGTTGTACACACTTTTTCTTAATCGTGATTTACAATACTATACTTAATCCCAATTATAATTGGTCATTTTTTTTGGTTCAAAAGATGACAACGCTTCGAATGATGACAAGTACTAACAAACTTGTTGTTATTATGAATGAAATATTTTTTTCTCTCTTTTGCATCCAGAATTCCCCCGACAAAGGATTTATATTAGATGTTCATCCTAAGTGGAAAAATGTCGTTATTGGTGCTGGATTTTCAGGTATGACAGAAACATGTATTTGATTTAGCCCACACTTTTCATGATCCCTGGTCAACAAGTCATTTCTGTTTTGGTTTTATTTAAAGTCACATCGGTCGGTCAAGGTCATAAAGAGCTTTACATCTTTACTAGAAACTAGGGAGTTCTCAGACCTTAGATTACCGCTTCGGGTTTTTAAGGCACTAGCCGGGACATATGAGTAGCACCACCCACCTTCCTGAAGATACCCGGGTAACTTCCTCACATGAAATAATAAAAATAATCCTACCGAGATTCGAACTTTCAACAGTTAAGGGCGAGTTATTCTTTGTCCGGGACCTCAAGAACGGAGACCGCTATCTACAAGAGTGGGATATTTATCAAAGAAAAGTATCTGATTGGCTTGAACCCACAGCTGTGAGGGATAAATTATTCGGACGACCTTTTAAATTCATTTAGATACAACTGTGTTTCTTTAAGAAAAATGTAGTGATATAACCTTGATACGACACGTGCTGCTATTGAATATCATTGATCTGAATTTGTATATAAATTTTTAAAAAACAGACATCTTAATGTAAAGCCATTTGGATCTTTGCTTTCCTCGTAACAGTTGTTCAAACCATATTTGAGCCGTGTTACGACAAAACCAACGTAATGCGTTTGCGGCCAGCAGTCTAATCAGGATCCATGCTGTTCGTTTACAAACCCTAAAACAAGTAAAGAAACTGATAGCGAACAGCATGGCTCCTAATCTATGTTGGTTTTGTTGTGACGCGGCTCATATTAAATGTATGTATGTAAGTATCACGTATGATAGTCAATACTATCCAAATAATCATTTATGGTGTTACAGACCTTCAATTATAGATCAATTCACTTTAAGATTTTAGCAGTTTTCAAAATCTTAGGTTTGTAATATAGAACAAAAAAGGTCCACTTGACCATGCAGCCATCTTGTGTAGTAATATTAGTTGATCAAATTTTGTACTTTAATGTAACAATTTTAACTTGTAAATTTTGTTGGACGTTATATACCATGAGGAATTACTTATTTATACACATAGATGTATGCCTTGACTGAGATGCCTTTGTATTATTATTTTTCAGGTCACGGGTTCAAGTTGTCACCCGTTGTAGGGAAGTTGTTGTCACAGTTAGCAACCGGACAGCGACCGTCATATGATTTGTCGCCATTTAGACTCAGCAGATTCTTAAAGAATAAATTATAAATATGAATAAAAAAGGTTTAAAATATACAAAGATATCAAGCAGTTTATATTTATATTAGGCTGTTTTTTTTAACTTTTTGTTGTTGAGACTTTATGTAATTTCATTAAACAACCTGTGGAATGATTTGGAATAATTTGAAAACGGAAAAAGTCCCTGAATGTTTTTTTTTCCAGAGTAATACATTTCAAAGCGTTAAAAACTTATAAAAACCATAGTTACTCCAGCAAAAATAGAAATAAGAAAGGAGAAAAAAGTGGTAAAGTAGCATAATAATGGTACTTTAAAAAATGCTCTCTTTAGTTTGAGTAATGACTTTATCTCGACTACATACAAGCCGATAAACACTTAATCTTTGTTTAAGTCATTACGAACAGTATTTACGTCAGTATGTCAACATATTTATTGTCATTGAACTGTTTATGATCCAGCATTGATGTAACGTGTAAAAATAATACATCTTCATAAACACACAAATAATGTATCATGGACTGTACAGTATCTAGAACAATTATAGAAATATTTTATGGTAGCTAGTAAACTCAGTACAAAATGAATTGTGAAACATTCATAGGATAAAGTTCCGTTCACCATCTTATGGTCAAGTGAGGTCCGAAAAAATGTCGAACTAAGCAATCAAGTGCATATAAGTAGACCATTTACAAGACAAAACAAGTTCTGGAGACAATAACTCACCTTTTTACCGTCGTTTCATATTGCTTGAGCTGAAGAACAACAATCAAAATCAATTAACTCAACAATTAGTTCGGTGTCACTTAAGTAAGTTAAGTAATTCAAAACAAAACATAAATATGTATAAAGTGATAATTGTTGAAGACCGATATAAACATAATTGTTCGATGTGAGCGTTTCATAAAATTACAAAAACTTTTGCGTTAAATTAAATGTTGCTAAATTTGTAACATTATTTCGTAATATGCATTGTTATACTTTATCAGTTCAGACGCACCAAATATTTCAGCTGATAAGTACAGTAACAGTATGAGGTGGAGAGAGTAGCTTGGCACATGCATGCTTGTCAAAACATACCATTGTATCCCCTGAACCAATTTTACATCAGTTTGAATGAGGCCTGTTAATGACAAAACATTCTATAATAAAAGAAACGAACGAATATAGGTTATATTTTATTCAACATTACCCAATTTCACTTATTTAAGTCATACTCTTACAGCAGAGTCTTTCAAATTTGAAAGACCCTGCTTACAGCAAGAGAAGTTAAGCATATGACTTCATTATGTTAGTAGTTAACACAATTAATGGCAAATTTATAACTATGTTCATCTAACTTTGGGTCAAATATTTCATGCCTTATTTTTAAAAAAAATATGTGTACAAATAGAGGGTCCTTTACCCGCGCAAGTGCATGAATCATCATGCACTTGCGCGGGTAAAGGACCCTCTATTTGTTCACTTCATCGGAAGATTGATTGATACCAGTCAATGGTATAAATCGATCTTCCGATGAAGTGAACAGTATATGCGACCATTTCTCAAACACTGGAAAAACCTTCACCCCCACCCAACGGCCATCCTGAATCAAAAAAAAGCAAACAACTTTCTTGACATAAAACTAGCTCGTAACATACTGATATTCCACATTCAGTGAAGACAATTGAGAAGATAAACCACATAAAGATAAGATACTCATATCTGTATAAGTGCGCGTATTTTTCCACTTGTGAATATTGTATCATTTTCTTTACACTTAAGTCTTTCAGTTCATTCTTTTCTGAATCTAGATTCCGTTAATATTAAGAAGTATGTAAGGGGTAAGGGGAAGTGGGGGAGTGGGGGAGAAGGAACTATCGGTTGTTTGTGGTTGGCAACAGAGACTTCGCTTCATCGAATAAATTTTAAATTTAACAAATAAACCATACGTAAGTAAGAGGACAAATTTCCTTATCATACAAATATTCCAAAATTTTAGTAAAATTTTGCCTAACGTTAAACGAATTGCAAAATTATATTGTCGTAAATGAGGAGAAAAGGAAAACAATGAAATAACTTTTGCTGCAAACTCATCTGATGATTCTATCTCACATTCCGCATTCTTAAAAAGTTCATAACCATACTTAATGTAGAGGTTACCACACACATAATTTTAATAGGCAGTTGACGGTATTTTTTAAACAATGCGTTATCTGTTATAAACATATAAACAAAGATCAATCATTCTGTAGCGACTGCAACTTTGATTTTCTCTGCTTTATTTAATCAACACACATCAGTTAAAACAACACTAAAACACTGTGTTAAAACGGACGGCAATGGTGGTCTCGTGTAAAAACAACTCGATCTTTAACACAAGATATTGATGATATTTTTGTTTGTTCAAAGTGCTGAACTTTGTCGTTAATCATTCTGGTACGAATACATAAAAATTGAGCAAGAAAGTAATTCAAAATCGATTTTGTAGTCCATCTTTCTGATAGATTGGTGAATAACACCTTTTTAATGAATGAACGATAAAAAATTTATATAAAAGAAGAGAAAAAATTTAAATATAACATAACCAATTATTGTCGTGCTCGGATCTATACCTAAAGGTAGGATTTTATTTTCCAGTTTAATTTTTCATAAAAACAACACACACGATGTGTTTTTGTTTGTTAAAGTAGCCCTTACTTTATTGAAAATATGTTAATGACGATTATATTTTAATTTAAAGCGAACATAAAATATACCAGAAAAAGCACAATTTTAGGTATACATACACAATTCCGGTCAGATGATGATGTTATGGGGGAGAAATTAAAAGCAAACGTTGAAACTAAGGAATAATAAAACAGTTATCCACCTCTTATTGTAGATCATACACTGACTTTCATGAATACCTGGAAATTCAGCTTTTACATTGTCTTTTTATAGTTTCCGTCTAGGGAAAGAGGACGATCATTTATGAACGCTTCAAATTTTTCTTGACAGTTCTTTGACTGGCCGATATGTTTTTATTTCTATCAATATCAATTATGTAGGACAACTGAAGGGCAACTGGAGTGCTTTACGTCATTTGTTTTAGCATTACTAAGCTTGTTTAGTAGAAAAAAAATCAATAAAGGCCAGGAAAGCAAGAATTTCCATTAAGTCCATATGAAGCAAACTTCAAATTTAGTTTATATAAAACGTTACTAAATAATTTTCAAAAAGACATAACGTTATAATGTGTGAAATAAGTCTTTATTTATAACAATTTCAAAACTTGTTGTTTTCTATTGGTTCCAAGTGTTTTTAAACAAACAAATACGTCAGTTATCTGACGATCATGAATACATTACAAAATCAATCAATCAATCAATCAATCAAACGTCCGCTTGTCAAAGGCCCATTATGCCCAGAAATGCTTTTATTATTTTTTTCAAAAGCTTTCTATCATTGTTGATTTCCTATTTATAGTTTCAAAAAAAAAAATCATAAACCAATTATTTAACAAATTTTTGCTTTTGCTTCTGTTGCTTTTTGATAATCGGTAGAGATATAGTGATTTAGTATCTTGTATGGAAATCAAAATACTGCATTGTTTACATTTTGCTACTTTAATGAAATTAATTTCCAATTCAGATCTACTTTCTTCAGGTGATAAACAAGACAAATTATCTTAAACTATTATTTAAACGTAATGAAACTCATATGTGCCCTTTCATTTGAAGGGGAATAAGAAATAGAAAGAGCATCTTAATGCAAGGCTGTCTGATTAGGCTCCGAGTATAAATCAGATTGCTGAGTGTTTTGATGTTCTTTCTCTTTTGTATCATAGGCAAATATGAAAACTTTTCCCTGTCGTCACAATATGGAACTCCAGAAAAAATGTAACTAATGTACGAGCATCTGAATATGATTCTTTTAACGTTATCAATTTCCAAGTTGTCATAATAGCTAAAGCCCAGAAGAAAAATGTAGCCAATCAACGAACATGCTCCATTTCAGTGCGCTAACTGCAGGAGTGCGAGTAACTAATACTAATAGGTCTACATACTATGATACAAGTAGATATAAAATTACAACTTACAAATATTCCATCGGAAAAAGACTAATTATGAACATGATTTTGACGTGATAATGTGTCTTTTCGTTTTAGGTCACCATGAAGATATCACTGATAACCCTTGTTTTGTTTGGAGTACTGCTGCTATGTACTCCTAATGACGCAGTACCGGGTACACATGGATACGGTGGCATGATGCGCGGATATGGCAGCTCGGGATATGGTGGCATGATGCGCGGATATGGAGGTGGCATGCATGGATACGGTGGCGGATACGGTAGCGGATATGGAGGTGGCATGCATGGATACGGTGGCGGATACGGTAGCGGATATGGAAGTGGATATGGAAGTGGATACGGAAGTGGATACGGAAGCGGGTACGGTGGCTATATGATGGGTGGTCATGGAGGTGGATACAGAAGTGGGTACGGTGGAATAATGGGTGGTTATGGTGGTGGATACGGAAGTGGGTACGGTGGAATGATCGGTGGTCACGGTGGTGGATACGGAAGTGGATACGGTGGAATGGTGGGTGGTCATGGTGGTGGATACGGAAGTGGGTACGGTGGAATGATGGGTGGTCATGGTGGTGGATACGGAAGTGGATACGGTGGAATGATGGGTGGTCATGGTGGTGGATACGGAAGCGGATACGGTGGAATGATGGGTGGTCATGGATACGGAGGACATGGATATGGTGTTGCAATGGGTCGTCATCATTATAGATATTAAAGGAGAGAAAAAGTTATACATCAAATATTAAAAACTTGTTTGTTTTACGACACACTGCCACTTTTTTGGGAGTAAGCCACTATACATGTATGCGAATAAAGCTCCGAGGCAGTTTCCCATATAAAGTGTAATTGCGTAAATATCAACGCTCATTGTAAACTTGAATTCAAACATGTTCAGTAAACATTGATAAAATAATAAAAAATTAAGTGTAACAAACTATTACTGACTATCAATTGGAGTATTTGTAGCATTTCACGAAGTTACACGGCGGCAAAACGTAAAGGACGTCAATACTTTCGACGCTATTGCAGTGAAGTAACGTTGTCGATGAAATCCCAACAAGTTGCAAAATATTTTACTTAAGACGTATATTAAATCCAACTTATGAAAATATCATTGTAGTATTTGTAATAAAACGTTTGTATGCACTGATCAGTAGTTTGTTTTATAGTTCAATGTGTTGTCTGCGTTCGAGTTACCGCATACAAAGTTCTAAAAGCGAGACCCAGTTTATGAGCATAGAGCATAACTTTTAATTTAATAATTTGATGAGCGTTCTTTTAATTAACAATATATAATGTGCTTTGTTTTTTTAAAAATTAAGTCCATCGAAGCGGTAACTTCCCTTGAAGAGTATATTTGCTTGAATTGCGTCCAAGAATAGACAGCACGCCCATGCCGTAAATATTTTAGAAATTTACCCAAATATGTCAAATGGTCTTGTCTATATAGAAAGATGGACAAGTCAATTTAAGATATTAAACGGGTTATCGATAAAGGGCTAACATTTTAAGAAGATTCAACAACAGTAGATACCTATAACCATAACTTAGTAAAGTTAATGTTACTACGTAAACAAACAGATAAAAAGGCAGCTTTATTATTCTTTGATTCCTAGGTTCACATTCCTTCAATTTTAAAGATAATAAATACCCAGTATGATTCTAGATAGACATACTGCATGATGTCATTAACAAGTATAGGTGTATCTTAGAGTATTAATTTGCAGAATCATACCATGCAGGGCGACATCAAATATGTATTCTTTATTAGACGCATGCAAAATAATTCTGCATATATTAAACTTGATCACGTAGAAAGCAATGTTCGAGCAAGAAACATATATAGCTAATGGACACACACCAATAAAGTGTATAGAATAGATAAATGATAAGTTTACTTTTGTCTGTTGATAAACTTGAAATTTGTGTGATCAGTAAATCCGATTTGCTAAACTCCCTAAGCTCCATACGAACAGGTTAGATATACAAGGAGAAATTAATCGGTCATCAGAGCACTCTTTTTCAGTTGGTGCAAGCAATTTAAAGACCATCGTAACACATATAAAGTTTCATGCTGATATCTTAAATACTCTTCGAGTAACTAGTATGTAAATGTATGAACAATACAAAAAGCCTATCACTCAAAAACTATGAAAGTAAAGTTATCATACTGGTGCACTGAACATATGAAGTTTAAAGTTGTTATCACAAATACAGCAAAAGAAAAAAAAAATGCAGAGTTATGACACAAATGAAAATAACAACATTTTTTTATTTATTACTTAAAATAAAGGGTTAGTAGTTAAACATTGTGTTTACTATTTGCCGTATCAGAATCTGACCATACAACTATCTGTATGTGCATTGGTTAAGGCGATGGTACGATGGTGAAAAGGCGATGGCGATATAACATTGTATTTTCACCATCGTGTCATCGCGACATCGCAAGTGCACCATCGTGTTTTCATCATCATACCATCGTGTTTTCATCATTGTTTCATCGCACCATCTCGTTTGCACCATCGTGCCATCGTGCATCAATGGTAAGAGTAAAATAAAACATCTCGATTGTCAAAACAGAACACCGTAGACTCCTGAGCTGTTTAAGAGAGTGGAGCGAGAATTCGATTGCTTTCTTTCTCGCTTCATCTCCTCAGAGACTTGGGGTATTCGGAATAATACTTTCAGAAAAATCTATCTTGCGACGCCATGAACGTTATTTTTTGTATTGTTAGCGTGTGCCGGGTCTCCTGTTCTATGTCATTTGTGATTTCCACATAACTTGTAAAAATATTTTATTGATTTATTTACTTATACGAATATAATATATTTAGAACATTTTCCGATATTTGTCTCTTGTAAAATTCTGTACGAAAATTGAAAAATGTGAACAGAACAGTAGAGCTGTAGAGTCCGATTACTTTTGAACAACCTTCGTAATAAATTGCACAATTGCTCAATTCCTGAATTGTTTTTACTTTCTGCTTGATTGGATAATAATACACTGTGCGATTAAAAAAAATATTTGCTATATGTCATAAAGTCGAGATATGTAGAAAAAGAATATTATCGAGAAATAATGTTTCCACTACAACGAAAATATAATCTATTAATGACGTCAGATAAGAAATTAACTCTTTAAAATACTTACCGAAATTTAATACCTTTCACGGTTAAAATCTCCACTTTGTTAATCAATGCGTTGTATTTTAATAAATATTTGATACTCCACAACCCATTTTAAATATAAACGTGTTGTGGGTTTTTACGTGGTCTATTTTAAGATGTTATCTTCAATCTATTACGTCTTCGCTTGCGAACTTAGTTTCTATTTTCGTTTTAGCACTTGTTGTAATCATTATGGAATTGGTAAGTTTATTTTTTCTAAATTAACTTAGTTTTAAGTATTATAACTTTCTTATAAGTAAACTGACTTATTTTGTCAACCCAATGATTGTTATATCGTTTTATTATAATTTCATTTATATTGATCAAAAGTTTAAAATCGAAACTAGAACCTAATGTTTTAAAAATCTTTTAAGGAACAATATATTTCGTATCAAAGTAGATAAATATTTGACAAATTAAGCAATAGCATTTCTTGACCCCGGCTTAGCTCAATAGGGAGAGTGTCAGATTTGTAATACCGAGGTCGCTGGTTCGATCGTTACCACGATTTCTCCGCAGATATTGAGTCTAATTGTTGCCCATTCAAAAGTCATACGGATAAGTTGAGAAAATGGTAATAACTTATCAGTTACCTAGGGAAACTTGGTAGGTGGATCGGCCCCCGATATTAGTCTCATTTCGATGTATGAACGATTTGACCCATTTTAAAGACATTTTTCATACTGCCAAACCGTTACAAAAAGTCGCCCCTTCGAATGTTATCAGGATATCTATCATACTAAAACGAAAAACTTATAACAAAAAGGGGTTAAAACACTGGTAAACCAAAAAAAAACTTTCTTTTATTTAGAAATTAAAAATAAATTTCAAACCTTTTAAAAGGGTAAAAAGAACTAATTTTTTTATTTCCCTTTTCATTTTATAACCCTAAATGATACGGGTATATTCCCGATATTTTTTTAATTTTAAAGGTTGTATGATTCTACCCCAAAGTCCTCAACGTGCGGGGTTTAAAAGGGGCCCAATTTTTAAAATACCTTTTTCGTTACCCAAAGGGGATAAATATCTTTAGGGCTTTTTGTTTTTCATGATGCATTTTCATCTTTTTTGGGATCCCTTTTTTGGCTTATTAAAATATACCTTTTTTTAATAAAATATATTAAAAACTTCCTTAAATGGTGGGACATAAATGACTAAAAAGCCCAAAACGTATTTTAAATGGGCTAAATTTGGAAATTTTTTTAAGTACATATACCAAGGATAATTTTGTACCGTCCCATGGGTTTCAGAGCGTAGTGATTGATGAAGTAGAAGATTGCCAAATGAGAAACTTGTTGAAATGAACCAAATCTCATCAGAGGGGGAGCATATTGGAAACGTTATCTACGCTCGGGATATTGAAGTATACTCCTGGCGTCTAGAGCGGTTCCGAGACCAACAGAAATGAAATTCATTTCAACACAAATGGGCGGGCGGGATTTCAGGTTTGATATAGAAAATTCTATTTGAAAGCCTTCACGTGATTTTTTTTCATAAAATATTCATATGATTTTACCAATTCTGTGGGCAATTCCGTGCTTGTAAATTTAACAATAAATATGATCTTTAGCATGAAGTATTTGAATTGAAAAAACTTATTTGGGTTTTTTTTTACAAAACATAAACGCTACGGTTATTTATGATATTGAAGGAAAACCCGTGACATTACTATACATGTTCTACCCGTGACACGCCTACTACTATCGAAAGATCAATAAAGTTTATATAAATATACGCAATAAAAAGATAAAGTTTTGGCAGCGTTCCACAAAGTTAAAACTAGTGATTAGGGCCGATATTCATTTTGTGATAAACTGATCCGCGTGCGGCGTCTAACTGTTTTTAAAAGATACATTTATTCTATTAACTGGGATAAAAACAATAATAACATAATTATATACATAGTCTCAGACAAACCAATGTAAATTTCCATTTTCTGTGTTTTAAAAACTGCAAATTGGTTTTTTTTAGCTGTTCTTCTTTTGTCTCAAATACAAACATTTTTTTGGGTTAGAGCCCTATTTTATATTAGTTCTCCTTTTTATGGTTGTTTTCCGTTGCATTTGTTTCCCATTATGTTCCCCTTTAGAAACAGACAAAATTTTGTAAAAATTTCCTTTCAAAAATGGGTAGAAGTTTTTACATTGAAGGTTTTGGGCATCCCCTATAAAAAGATCAATACTTGGTGTAAAAGATCAATCAAATTCCATTTTAAATTTTGAATGTTAACGACTTTTTTATTTTTTTAACAAAAAAGTGATACTGCTTCTCGCAGCGAAAAAACCCAAATTTTATCTAAAAATTTTCATACTTGAAAATGTGCTGAAATTTTTTTTTTTTTAGCCACCAAAAAAAACGACATGTATGCTTTTTAGAATTTAGGGAAAAACGAAGAAGGAAATAGACCAAACAGGGGGGACCCTTTCAGGGCTGTGATAGTATAAAAATTGGGCGTAAAAGATTCTGGTTGAAGGGAAAGATTGGGGGCAGAAGGGGGAAAAATTTAAATGGGAAAAGCAAAACCCGAACAAGACCCGGTGAAAATTTTTGGTCAATTTTTCCCTTTAAAGGTTTTAAAATACGCTTTATAAAAAGGTAGTAAACATGTTACAATTATTAGTCTGATAACTGTTTTGTTTTAACAATTTACTCGTTTTTGTAACTGCATTTGTACTTTCCAAAAAAGAACAATAATTAATACTGGTATCTTAAAAAACAGACATTAGTTATTTGGTCAGGGATCTTGTACATAAAGCAGAAAACATGTTTATCTCTGTTCTATTTTCTCAATGTCGATGATAGGGGAACTTGAGAATGAAATATAATATTTTACTATGCAATCTTGAGCTAATTTTTAAAAATCGTTTTTTTTTGTGTGTGTGTTTCTAGCATTCTTATATTTATTTAGATAAAATATAAGAAGTAAAAGATAACGTTCTAAAGATGGCCTTATATACTGTAGACTTTTAAATTACTTGTCTGAAAATTATACTAATACTTCATTTACGTTTTTACATACAAGCTCAGAATAAGATAAAACCGATATGTGTTGTCTATTACATAATTAAAATCTATTCTTTTTCATCCAATAACGCGAGATGAAAGTTTACTTTCATGCATATTCTAATATTTTGCCATTAGTTCTTGAACCTACTTCAGGATATTTTACAAAAACCAGAATAAATTCACAAAATAAAAACTTATTGTATAACTGTATGCATATATGCACTATCTAAAGGGATTTCACAAAGAATTACTGGTAGAAGATCAGATTGGCCAACAACTGCCTTTGTTTGATATAATGTCATTGTTCATCAAAGCGTTAAAGGATCATTGTTTGAAGAAACTGAAACTACAGAATCAAGGAATAGCAGTTGACATGAACAAAACTCTTTTTGTCGTTACTGTTCCTGCAATATGGACAGATGAAGCAAAGAAATTCATGAGAGATGCAGCTATAGAGGTGTGAAATGTTTATTTGTTCGATGCATTCACATAAGGCTATGGAAAACATAGCCTTCATTACATAAACGACTAACGTTTTTGAGGATGGAGACTATAAATAACCGTTTTTACTTCTTATTTTACTTTTTCAATGAAATAATTCAATAACTGAATAAAATACACATACCTGAACTATAATCACCGAAACGATTACAGTAGACAATTAACAAGGTGTGAATCTTGGCGTAAAAATTTCTGGCTGGCACTCACATGACATGATGATTCTTTATGTTATATGTTTCCCGACAGTTGTCTGTAATTCAATTGATCGATTTCCCCATCCACTGTTATTTCGTTAAGCACTCCTTCATTCTTTCACTTGGTGCCATACACCTCTTTTTAGATAACAATAAAGATTTTTATGATGACATTTGTGCTGAGGCTTATTCTAAGTAATACCATTTTATATTTACATGTTGAATGCGTGAATGATAGCAGACATACAGCTGTCGTCCATCACAAGTCTTAATCAAATCGATTGTGCAACATTTTCAATTTTGCCATTTAGCATCTTTGGAGTTGCCCAGTTTAATAACTATCTCAATGTCCATAATTCATGTTAATTTCGACATAATAGAAATATTCTTATTTTATATTTCAGGCTGGTATAGGTAAAAGAAATGTATTGTTAGCCTTAGAGCCAGAAGCTGCTGCAATATATTGTTTACATCTCCCTGAGGGACAAAGAAAAGAAATGAATGACCTTGGTATGAAAGGAGAAAAATTCCTAGTAGCAGACTTGGGAGGTATATCTGTAATCAATCATTTTGTAACTAGGCTTTTATCTTGCTCACTTAATTTGACGAAACGTTTGCTTTTGAAAGTAGCGGTGTTTGTATGATTGTCAGACATGTAACATTTTATTATGTACGCTGATATTCCAAGGTAGAATAATTATTACAATTTATTATTGCCTTGTTAGATGCCTTTTCGGTGGCCATTTTATGCCTGGATATTGTCGAAGTTTTTTCCAATATTTTTTTGTGTCGCCTTGAAAAAGCGACATATAGGGGTTACTTTTGTCGGCGGTGTCGTTGTCGGCGTCCCCTTTAGCTTGTCCGGAGCATAAGTCAGTCATTATAAGTCGGATTGACTTCAAACTTGGTATGCATGCTTCTTATAATGACCCGAAGTGCAGTGCACAAGAACCGGTACTCTGCACTTCTTAATTTTTGAGTTATTGCCCTTTGTTAATTTTCATACTTTATTTTTGTCCGGGCCATTTCTCCTTATGTATAAAAGCTATGGACTTAAAACTTCATAGGATGACAGATCTCATTAATAAGAAGTGCAATGTACAAGAACCGGTGTTCTGCACTTCTTATGTTTTGAGTTATTGCCCTTTGTTAATTTTCATACTATATTTTTGTCCGGGCCATTTCTCCTAAAGTATTAAAGCTATGGACTTAAAACTTCATAAGATGATAGATCTCATTAAGAAGAAGTGCAGTGCACAAGAACCGGTACTCTGATTTTCTTATTTTTTGAGTTATTGCCCTTTGTTAATTTTCATACTTTATGTTTGTCCGGGCCATTTCTTCTAAAGTATAAAAGCTATAGACATTAAACTTCATAGAATGATAGATCTCATTAAGAAGAAGTGCAGTGCACAAGAACCGGTACTCTGCATTTCTTAATTTTTGAGTTATTGCCCTTTGTTAACTTTCATACTTTGTTTGTCCGGGCCATTTCTTCTAAAGTATAAAAGCTATGGACATGAAACTTCATAGAATGATAGATCTCATTAAGAAGAAGTGCAGTGCACAAGAACCGGTACTCTGCATTTCTTATTTTTTGAGTTATTGCCCTTTGTTAATTTTCATACTTTATGTTTGTCCGGGCCATTTCTCCTAAATTATAAAAGCTATAGACTTGAAACTTCATAGGATGATAGATCTTATGGATAAAAAGTGCAGTGCACAGAAACTGCTTCTATGCATTTCTTATTTTTTGAGTTATTGCTCTTTGTTAATTTTCATATTTCATTTTTGTCCTGGCCATTTCTCCTAAACTATATTGTTCACAAGGCGACACATCCCACTCACAGAGTTCAAGTTCATATTAAAGGGTGAACGGAATTTGTGTTATCCCTCGTAAACAGACTGATTTAAACCGAATGTGCAATTTTCGCTCATTGAAATTTGTTTCCATTGCGCTCGAGGTATCTCCCTTTCCAAAATTTTAGATGTTACAATAACAGTAAAAGATGTACATGTTTTACGATCTGAAATATTTTAGGCGGGACAGCTGACTTATCTGCAGTAGAAGTAGACGAAACTGGCTGTCTGAAAGAAATATGCCCTCCACTTGGTGACCCGGTTGGTGGTCAGAAAATAAATGAAGCATTCCTGCAAGTTTGCCATGACAGTTTTGAAGGAAAAGGTTGGAAAGAAACATTTAGCAAGGCAACACCCGTTGAAATGTTGAAAATGGAAGCAGATTTCGAACAGAAAAAAGTTACAATCGGTTCCGAAGATGAAAGCGCTGAAATGATTGATGTAGCTATCCCAGCACCAGTTCTAGATAAACTTGAAGATAAATCCATTCGACTCAAGGACAACGCTTATCTATCGTACCAGGACAGGGAGTTAATGTTTAATTCCAGACGTATCCGTGACAATCTGTTCAAAGAAACGTGCAAAGTTGTCTATGGGACTATAAGGAAAGTGCTTAACAATACTGGAGCAAAGGGGTTAAAAACCGTCGTTCTTGTTGGGGGTTTTGCGGAATCACCCATCGTAATCGAAAACATCCGGCAAATGATTGTTAATGACTTTCCGGAAACCAAGGTTGTAATACCCTCATCGCCCTTTAAGGCCGTTCTAAAAGGGGCAGTCTTGTTTGGCCACGACCCCCTAATATTTAGAAGCAGAATAAGTAGGGAAACTTTTGGAATAGAGACAAATGTGTTGTTTGATGAAAAGGTGCACGATGTGTCAAAGAAATGGAAACACAAAGATACAGGAGAAGACTGGTGTAAAGATATTTTCAGTCTGCATGTTCGTAAAGGCAAGTCGGTGATTTTAGGCGATAAACAGCCAGTTAAAATCTACACTCCTGTTTATGAAAATCAAACACAAATGCGCTTTCCTATTTACACTGCTACATCATTAAATCCAAAATACACAACTGAAGATGGTTGTAAACACATTGGCAATATCACGGTTGATATTCCTGATACAACAGGCGGAACAAAAAGGAAGTGCGAAGTAAGCATGATTTATGGAGGTACGGAATTGTCTGTAATCGCAAAAGACAAAACGACGGAGAAGGAGTTTAACGCAGACATTCAATTCTGTAATATGTAAAACTGGTGAGCGTAAACAGAGCATAAACTGAGCATAAACTGCATTGTATACTGTAGATATTGAAAATTCACATACACGGCAGAGAGGAATTTGGTTGAGTTTTAGAAATAGTTTGTATTCAAAATAAATTTTATGTGAATGATACGCCGAAATGAGTACAGTGGCAAGAGGTGAACTTTTCTATTTGTAAATAAGGACACACACATATATTTTACATATGATAATATTAGAATGGATATAAGTTTAAGAACTAGATGTTCAACTGCAAGTTACCTTGTTGTTACTTCAATGTATTACGAAATTTCAAACATATGGAAAAGGAGAATATATCTCTATTCATATGCTTACAAGTTGAATGTAATGTATTGATATTTCATATTTATATTTCATAGATTTTGATTTTAATGTTATTCTATCATTTACAATACAATAATGTCGTATATGATATAATTTTTCTTCTCCGTTCAGATGGCCATTTTGTTCAAGGCAAATTGAGGATGTCCATATATAAGATAAATGTGTTTACACTTCTTGTAAGTTGGGGCTAAGTATAATGTGAAACAATTCGGATGGACAAATGCATTTGAAAAATGAAAACAAATAATCGTTTCAAATAGTGCAACCCGGAAGACACAATTATTTAAAACAACTTGCTGTACCGAATTTAAAAAAAAATTATTTACTGATAGTTGTATTTTTTTTAAATATAAGTCATGCTTTATTCATTTAATTTAGTAAATGTACATACATAACATATATTCGAACTTTTATATAGCATATATTATTGCTGTAAATAGAATGATTTTTATTTGTATTTTCATTTATTTTGTTTGGTGGTACACTTTTGATATAACAAAAAATAGGATGTGATTGGGTATATTTAATATAGTGATTGAGGGTTGTTGCACTGATAAAGTCATGTGATCTGATATATGTATATGGCATTCTTGCTTAGTTACCTCATGTTTAGTTAAGCGTATATTCGTAACTGCTATCAAAGAAATGATTTAATATTATTGTAGTTAATCATATCATGTGTTACTTATTTTATTTAACTACTGACTGTTGTTATATTTATCGTATTTATGATTTATTATAATATTGATTGATGTTATTATTACTCAAGTGTATGTAGTAGTTTTTAAAATTTGTTGTTAGAATTTTATTAAATTCTTGAAGGAAAGCAAAATTTATTTAATTTCCTATAAACGGGTGTAGAAATTGATAAATAAACTAATTCTGTCAGTTTTTGGCTCACCTGTCACAAAGTGACAGGGTGAGCTTTTGTGATCGCTTTTCATCCGTCGTCCGTCCGCCGTCCGTAAACTTTTACTTTAAATGACATCTCCTCATAAACCACTCAGCCAATTTCATCCAAACTTCACAGGAATGTTCCTTTGGTGGTCACCTTTGAAAATTGTTCAAAGAATTTAATTCCATGCAGAACTCTGGTTGCCATGGCAACCAAAAGAAAAAACTTTAAATATCATCTTCTAAAAAACCCCAAACAGCGAGAGCTTAGATATTTGGCAAGAAACATCTTCTAGTGAGTGTCTACCAAGTTTGTTCAAATAAAAGCCCTGGGGTCAAAATTGGCCCCGCCCCAGGGTGTCATTGATTTTCCCTATATGCATAAAGTAAAAACTTAGAAAATCCTCTTTTAAAGAACCCAAAGAGCTAGAGCTAAGATATTTAGCATGAAACATGTTCTAATGGATGTCTACAAAGTTTGTTCAAATAAGAGCCCTGGGGTCAAAATTGGCCCCGCCCCGGGGGTCATTGATTTTCCTTATATGTGTATAGCAAAAACTTAAAAAATCTTTTTTGAAAAAAAAAACCCAAATAGCTAGAGTTTAGATACTAAGCATGAAACATCTTCTAGTGATTGTCTACCAAGTTTTTTCAAATAAAAGCCCTGAGATCAAAATTGGCCCCGCCCCAGGGGGTCATTCATTTTCCTTATATATGTATAACAAAAACTTAAAAAATCTTCTTTGAAAAAACTCAAATAGCTAGAGTTTAGATATAACGCACGCAGCATCTTCTAGTGAGTGTCTACAAAGTTTGTTCAAATAAAAGCCCTGGGGTCAAAATTGGCCGGCCCCGGGGGATATTGAATTGTATAGCAAAAACTTAAAAATCTTTGAAAAAAACCCGAATAGCTAGAGTTTAGATATTAAGCATGAGACAATTTATAGTAAGTGTCTACAAAGATTGTTCAAATAAAAGCCCTGGGGTCAAAACTGGCCCTGCCACAGGTGTGTCATTGTTTTTGACTATATGTGTAAAGAAAAAACTTGAAAAAATCTTCTTTTAAAAAACCCAACGAGCTAGACCTTAGATGTTTAGCATGAAACATCTTCTAATGGGTGTCTACCAAGTTTGTTCAAATAAAAGCCCTGGGGTTTAAACTGGCCCCGCTCCGGGGGCCTATATACAGGTGAGCGACTTCAGGGCCATCATGGCCCTCTTGTTTTGTAACGTAGGGTTCTTTTATAAACCCAAGTTTTCTGAATGAGCCATAGATTTTTCTTCATCTCTGCTGAATTGTTACAAGAAACCTAAAAGTGCTTATCACATAAAAGAACACTTAGCTCCTGATTGCGTTCATTCTAAATAAATACAGAGACCATGAAGTAATATATACGCAAACAAGTGAAAAATAAAGGATATACAATTATATAGTATATCTAACAATAACTTCCTAATTAACTAGCCGACATTATAACATTTATTCCGAATAATATATGTACAAACTATTAAATAAAACTAACACTACGTGTTCAAATTGACTGTTGTAAAAACTAGCGATATTAGTGATAAAAGTAAGATACTGATGGTTAAATCATTATTTCCCGTGGGCAGCAACTTTTCTGGTGCTTGAGAAAGCATCACAGTATAGACAAGGTTGTGGGTGTAAAATGTCATCCTTATATTCAATCAGGGCTATTATATTTTCAATCGTTGAAGGTCGTTGAGCACGACATTTTATTAGGCATTTGTCTTGTTTTCTTTTAGTTCCTTATCAGTTACTAATTATTTATTCTTATGTTGTGGTTTGCTCCTTGCCACTGGCTCTTGTTATTGGGTCGGTGGGGGTTGCGTTCATTGAACTGCCTTTCCTTGTTGATCTTGTTTATCATATTTTCTTGAAATTCCGACAGTTTGATCTTGATTGCTCCATTTTATCCTTTTAAAAACTGTTTAATCTTCTTAATATATATTTCCTGTGCTTTCAATATGTCTGACATAAGTGTAGTAATTGATACTATCAATATATTCCATTCATTTTATAAAGTTCCACACAATGTTTACTCATGTATACACACACACACACGCGCGCGCGCACGCACGCACGCGCGCGCACGCGCGCACGCACAATCAGCTTACTAGAAAGAGATAGTACATCACTTTCAATGAAACAAGTTGGAAGTATAACATGTAAACATTTTCGGGTGTAATATATTTCCTAATGTTATCATATTATTTTCAACCACTGCCGTACATGAACATAGTCACTGAAAACCGAGTCTGCAATATTTGATAATTAATGCATGTTGGGCAAAGTTAAATTTCCCATAATACATAGTTATTCGTTTTCTAAGAGAATGAATACATGAAATTCTAATTCGGTTCTCCTATATGACTGTTTCTCCAGCCAAAATAATTTTAAAAAATACATAGGGCGATAAGTCGAAACAAACTGCATTATAACATATTTGTTTCCTTTTAAAAGTCATTTTCTAAAAAGAAATATTAATAAATGATAATAATAATGTGTCACATTCCGGCCATTCTCAAATTAAATCAATTGGGATAATATTTAACGAATATGATTTTAAAAGCCATATATCTGCTGCAAAAAATATTGTTTGAATTTTAAAAAATGCTTCGGAATTGTTTGTATGAAATAAATATGGTAGTCAAAAAGGTGAATGGCGCATGCACGATATCATTGCTAAACGGATAAAACACTTCTGTAATATTTTTGTAACATTGTATTTTGTTAACGTATTCATGTGTGTTAAATACAATAGAAATCTTATATTACAACTCTTTCAAGAAACGACCATAAATATGTTAATGTTACTGTTGATAAATTTAAAGAAATATTTGATTACGGTATAGCCTTTAAATATTACATGTGAAACTTGATATTATATTGATCCAATGTTTCATATTTTACAACTTATTCTAAATATAACCTTGTAAATTGGTGAAATGTTCTTTTTATAAATGTTACACAATCGTTTTCGTTTAAGTCGGGTTAACTTCATGTCTTCTCCTTTTCTCACTTGTGTTTCTTAAATGAGATTACTCTGGTGTGCTTATCATAATGGAATTGGTGAGTTAACCTTATTTGTAAACCAACATTTCAATATTTTTAAAAGCTTTTCTTCTATGATTATTTCTTTAATGATCTGATGGCATAATATGGTACATATTGTTAACCAAAGATTATATATGTAACAACACTATAATAAGTAATAAATAGTGGAAAAGTAAAGAGGGGGTTGATCCATGTAATCATAACAATCCTCCATTCATTAATTATTTTAAAGCATAGTTCCAAATATATGACCTACATTTTGATACAACTGAAGGATTTTTATACACGATACTATCACTGTAAACTTTGCATACAATCGTCGCTTAAAATATAAGTCTTCTGTTGAAAGAGGGAAATAAATTTGTAATCAAATATGTTACGATGATTTATTTTCAATCTTAGAGCATCATTAAAGACCCTAAATTGGTTATTGCTCTGGATATTGGAAGTACCTACTCGGGATATGCCTGGCAGTCTAGAGACGAGTTCGAGACCAACAGAAATGAAATTCATTTCAACACAAATTGGGGAGGCGGAGCACTTCAGGTTTGATATACATTGAAACTAGAATGGAGGTGGGGCTTAATTGTGTACTTTGCAAGTTGCTTTAAAGGGCAGAGGTTGTCACGTTTTTCATTTATTTCTTTAACGTTGTAAACCAAAATGATGTACATTGTACTATCCTATTTGATATTATTACGACATGTAATTGACAGTTAATATAGTATTTATATTGTAGAAACTATTGGCAAGAAATGTTTCTATAGTTTTAATGAGTTGTGAATATTGACTCTGATGTTGATCATAAGAATAAATTTAGGTAGGACCAATATGATATGTTCATGCTTTTTCTTACCGATACCAATTCTGCATTTAACCAGGCAGTTTAAAGTAATTGGAATGTCGTTGGACAAAATAATCTAAATATTGTTTAGTTAATAACGTAATTATTAGTTGATGACGTTAACCTAAAGTCCGATACATGTTTTACCTGTGTTATTGAAATATCAATTATGTTTATGCATAGGTTTGTGGTAATAATAGGCATAGGCACGCGACCAATTATTTTTGTTAATGCGTATTTTTAAACATTAATTAACATGTTTAATGATCAACATTATTTTGCAACAAAAATCAAAGCCTCTCTGTACTGTTGCCGATAGCTCCGCCCTTTCACACCCGCACTTATTTTTTATTTAAGTTTATAAAAAGGTAGTTTTACGTCGGCGTTCTTTTAAAGTGAAAGTGTTGAGTTGAAACCCGCATATGACGCAAGGTTTGGGGAATTTTTCAGTTGTGCTGGCAAATGAGTGTGGATTTGATGCGCTTAGAAAATGGATGGTATGGACAGTAAAGAGTCATTTGATTTAATTGAAAACATTTAGATTTTTGGGACTTCCTGTCGAATTATTTTTTTATGAAAATAATGAAATGAATTTTGACTTTAACCTAAGAAGAAAGCAACAGCAACCTCTACAAGTGAAGCCTCTTCTATCATACAGACGAAACAAAAACAACTGTATCATGATGGTTCATGTTCAAAATTCTGTTACAACGGTGGTGGTTGTTAAATCAGATGGAAAGAAAATTACCATTGACGTTAAAATTGTTTTATTCAATAAAATTTGAACTAGTCTCGTTGATAGATTGCCGAACTAATTAATGATTGGTTAAAAAGAAATATACAGTTTGCTTGTTATATAATTTGTAATTTGATAAACTAATTAGCAACAGTCATAAAAGTAAAACTTTCTGATTTGTTTAATTTATATTAACATTGTGATCTTTCAATATTTTCATAATGCCTGTCTCAGCACACTGTCACCTGTGCCTAAAAGGGAAACACACACTCCAAGAAACTTTGCATTGTTGTGATATATTAATTTTAGTCTGAGTGTACGTTACTATGGGTGCCTATCTTTACCAATAGTTAAACACTTAGTTATTATGTTAATGAGCTTACTATCTATATAATGAGCTTTCATGTTGATAAGATTATTTACAGATACTAATTCTATCTGATTTAATTGATTTTTCTGTAAAATAGTTATATTGTTAAATTTCGAATTTATAGTTCACTCCTAAGAACACTAAAATGTGTCAACAACAGCCTTAAAAGATATTTATACGTTCATGTATAATAAAACTTATACATTTAGTCACTTATATATCAGATAACTTTGAAGTCAAGTCATACCTGTTTTTTTTTTTAATTCAAGCCTTGTTAATTCTAACTTGAACATTTTCTTCCTTGGTAAAGTAGTAGTTTCGTAAATCACCACATCCTTGACGCTTTCCTGCACCGTGGTCTGTCTTACTTTTTTATATGATTGTTTCCGATATTTACATTAACGATGTTTATATGTGCTAAGATTGGCAAATTGTTTTAAATGTGTTTTTGATTAGTTTCCTATAAAACGCAGGATCCATAACATTTGAACTTCCCTAAAAAACCGTGTTACATTTAGTTGTACCCATCGTGTTCCAATTTCGGTGTCATCCTTTGTTTTAATTAAGGATCTTACGCCGCCTTTTTAGGAATGGCTCGAAAGTATCATACTGAAGGTGGACATAACCAGATTTTTGTCAATATTACCTTCTAAAACGACTAAGTTTGTAAAATAAAGCGACTTTTATTATTGTGAAAAATAAGTTGACAAATGCTATCTAAATACGAAAAAGTAAAACTATTTTTGATGCCAATCTTTGTTAACTCACTTTAGAAGATGCATTGCATATCATTTTATTGTAGCTTCATAAAACAACTACATGTTTGGTGTTAGAATGTCAGAAGAACGAAGAAGGAGCAATAGATCAAAGACAACCGGACCTTGCACGGTCTTTAAGAAGTATAAAACTGAATGTAGACGATACTGGTATGAAGGTCAAGATTGGACATGAAGCTGAAAAAGTTTACAGTGGAATAGCAAAGCAGAAACAAGACCCCGGTGAACTTGCTGGTCAATATTACTTCTTCAAAAGGTTCAAACTACTGCTTTATAATGAGGTAGTTAACTTTTTAAATATTGTACAACCATATGTCTTATTGCTTTTTTGTTTGAACAATTTATACGTTTTTGTTACAATACTTTATACAGGTATCCTATAAAACAGTTTTCAATAATTGGGCCAGTGAATGTTTATCTTATTTTGTTTTTCATAGAATAAACATAACGCTGAGTTTGTTTTGAATTTTAATGTGCTAAGTATCTGGGTATTTTCTCAATGTCGTAATTTATAGAATGATATTTACCTATGTAATCTGGAGCTCATTTTTTAATAATCGTTGTTTTATTTTTTAATTTTTTTGTAGCATTCATATATTTATTTAGATATGATATAAGAAGTAAATAAAACATTCTAAAGTTTTCCAAGTATATTTTGTGGACTTTAAATTAGTTGTCTGTAACTTATATAATAATTTATTTCAGTTTTAAAAACTAGCTCGGAATAAGATAAAACCAATATGTTCTGGTCATTACTTTATTAAAATCTCTTCTTTTTCATTCAATAACACGAGGAGTTGAAAAGTCTAGTTTCATGAATAGTCTTTGAACATACTTCAGAATGTTTAACTAAATAGCAGCATGATTTTACATACATTATATGTTGTGTTACTTATTGTATTATCGTATGCATATACACATTCTTTGAAGGGATTTCACAAAGAATTACTGGTAGAAGATGAGATTGGTCAACGACTGCCTTTGTTCGATGTAATGTCATTGTTCATCAAAGCATTAAAGGATCATTGTTTGAAGAAAATACAGACTCAAGGAATAACAGATGACATAAACAAAACTCTTTTTGTCGTTACCGTTCCTGCAATATGGAAGGATGACGCAAAGAAATTCATGAGAGATGCAGCTATAGAAGTATGAAACATTTATTTGTAGGATGCACAAGTACAAATTATCACATGTTGCGGCGATTTGTCTTTGATGTTCCTCAGCTGTTATACGCAAGTATCATGCTTTACTGGTAATATCGCACAGTGCTATATCTCAGATAAAGCATACTTCTTTAGATAAAAGTGTGCGTTATTTCAAATAAATCACAGTTATCTAAGTACATTTGGTTATGTATAAGCGTGACAAATACACAAGGGCCACTGAACGGTACTAAAATTTAGGCTCGAAAAACAACGAATATATTCATATTGGGGAAATATAATGGGATATTGAGGATATGGTTGTCAGTTTAGAAAAAGTTTTGTTTGAGGCTTGAACGAACTTGTTTATAAACCTTTTAATCCTTTTCCTGAATGAAATTTGGTGCGAGGAGGTACTGCCTGTATAAACATGTTCATGAGTAGATATACTCGCAATATTTTCAATGTCAAGTCCCCGAAAAAAAACAATAATCGTTTTCATTGAAAAAAAATTAAAATCCGTTTTTTGGCATACCATAAAACATGCTGATTGAAAGGCGGTTACCGTAATACTGTTTTTGTCTGTGGCCATCCAACCGCTTTACTTCTGATTGGCTCTTACGTTATGGGGTTTACAGTAAGAAAAAAATCGATCATTTGCATGTACCAAAAAAAGTAACCGATGTTCCTTGTGGGAATAAAATCTATTAAGGGAAGCAAAATATATATTTGAATTTTATGTAAGATCAAAATTTTTATTTATGTTTATCATTCGATAAAACAGTTATAGTATATCGAACTCGACTTCGATGTGGCTATATCATGGCCTGGGGCGGCTTCTCGGATTTTTCCTATAGAAAATGTTCTCGGCCTTACGGCTTCGATCATTTTCTGTAGAGAAAACCCTTCGATGACGCCCAAGGCCATGATATTTCCACATAACAGTCTCGTCGCTATACTATAACTATAACATTACATCACATGCTTCTTGGTTATATTCATATTCATTCACATTCATATTTGTATGGAAAACATCAGTATCTTGAACTAGCCTTCATACATAAATCGCCTAATATTTGTGAGGGTGTGGCGCCAATATTTATAATAAGTGGAGACTCTAATAACTATTTGCTATTTCATAGTTAACAAATAAATAATTCAATATCTGAATAAAGTAACATATCTGTACTATAATTACCAAAACGATTTCAGTAGACAATTTGAAAAGTCGAAGAGTAAGTCTTGGCGTGAACGGTCTTTGGTGTTTCTGGGCACTCACATGATGACTTATTGTTATATGTTTCCGAAAGTTGTCTGTAATTCAAAATATCGATTTCCCTATTTTTTTGTCCCATCAACTGTTATTTCGTTAAGTACACACTCAATCTTTTATCTGGGGCCATACACCTTTTTTTATGTCACCATATAGGTTGTATGATTACATTTTCAATACGCATTTTTAGCATATGCGGGGTTTATAACTATCTTAATGTTGATTTCGACATCAAGGAAGTATTCTAATTTAATATTTCAGGCTGGTATTGGAAAAAGAAATGTATTGTTAGCCTTAGAGCCCGAGGCTGCAGCTATATATTGTTTACACCTCCCTGAGGGACAAAGAAAAGAAATGAATGACATTGGTTTAAAAGGAAAGAAGTTTCTAGTAGCCGACCTAGGAGGTATATACAATGTATTTAATCAATTCATGTTGTAAATACGCATTACACATCCGACTTTGACAAAACGACTTAAAGTATAGGTTTTTAAGATATTCACGATCTATTCAATCTTATATTGAACTCTGATATATCATTTTAAGTTCTTGTTTATCCCCCAATACCATCTGGTGATTCTTGTGTCTGGATTATGCCAGGACTGCATTGTGTGAACGTCGCTCTGCCTTGGTATTCTTTTTCAACATATTTTGCTATACTTTGCTGGTTTGTCAGGATCATGGATTCCAATACCGTCAATGTAAGAGACTGAAAACTGTTTTACCGAGATATCTCTCTTTCCAGAATGTAAAGGAGTTCTGATAAAGAAATATACACATAAAATTAATATAAAGTGAGATTCTTAGCCCGAGTTTAGTTAAAAACGTTTTTAAAAAACGTTTGCTTTTATGACATTTTGCACTATGAAAATAAATATTCTTAAAGACTTAATGTGCAATTTATCTGAAATTTTGCGCACAAGTTATATGGTATTAAAAAGATTTTGTATCCCGTTAAGTAAAAATTCTGAGCGAAGTCCCTTCAATTTTGCAATTTATTTCACAGATATAGATGATATTTCTTACTAAAATATTTTAGGCGGGACAGCTGACTTATGTACAGTTGAAGTAGATACAACAGGTCAACTTAAAGAAATATGCCCTCCACTTGGTGACCTTGTTGGTGGGCAGAAAATAAATGAAGCATTCATGCAAGTTTGCCATGACAGCTTTGAAGGACAAGGTTGGAAAGAAACTTTTAGTAAGGCAACCCCTGTCGAAATGTTGAAAATGGATGCAGATTTCGAAAGGAAAAAGGTAACAATCGGTTCCGAAGATGAAGAAGCAGACATGATTGATATAGAAATCCCAGCGCCAGTCCGAGATAAATTAGAAGATAAAACAATCCGTCTCAAGGACAATACATACCTTGCGTTCGAAAGCCGAGAGTTAATGTTTAATTCAAGATATATACGTGACATTCTTTTCAAAGAAACGTGCCAAGCTGTCTATGGGACAATAAGGAAAGTGCTTAACAATACTGGGGCAAAGGGGCTTAAAACCGTCGTCCTTGTTGGGGGTTTTGCGGAATCACCCATTGTAATTGAAAACATCCGGCACATGATTGTTAATGATTTTCCGGAAACAAAGGTTGTAATACCATCATCTCCCTTTAAGGCCGTTTTGACAGGAGCAGTCTTGTTTGGTCACGACCCCTTTATATTTAGGAGCAGAATAAGTAGGGCAACTTTTGGAATAGAGACAAATGTGTTGTTTGATGAAAAGGTGCATGATGCGTCAAAGAAATGGAAACACAAAGATACAGGAGAAGACTGGTGTAAAGATATTTTCAGTCTGCACGTACGTAAAGGCAAGTCGGTGATTCTAGGCGATAAACAGTCAGTCAAAAACTACACTCCTCTTTATGAAAATCAAACACAAATGCGCTTTCCTATTTACACTGCTACATCATTAAATCCAAAATACACAACTGAAGATGGTTGTAAACACATTGGCGATATCACGGTTGATATTCCTGATACAACAGGTGGAACAAAAAGGGAGTGCGAAGTAAGCGTGATTTATGGAGGTACGGAGTTGTCTGTAATCGCAAAAGACAAGACAACAGGGAAGGAGTTTAACGCAGACATTCAATTCTGTTATATGTAAATCTGGTGAGCGTTAATACGTTAATAGAGAAAACAGTGTCTGATATTACAAAATTTATCAGACAAGGCTTAGAAAAAAGAAGCCGTGTCCAAGCCTGATAAATTTTATAATATTAAACACTTGTTTGGTATTCCATTTACCATGTTTGCAATTTTAGTATGCGTTTCTTTCTTTAAATTTCAAATGAAACAAAAACCTCTCGAGTTAATGCCACGCTCAGTAATATGCCAAGGGTAATGTCCTTAAGAAATAAACCCAACTGTTTTTAGTCAAATGTAAAAAAATCTGGAAAGCATTACTCACAACAAAATTACATAAGAATTGCAGACTCTGTTCGATTTAGTCTGTACATGTAAGACTTTAAAATCCTTAAAATGTATTTGATTCAAGTTTATCAGTTTGATATTTTTAACTAGTAAGAGGTAAAACATGTCATTCTTTACAATTTATTTCAATATGTATTGACGAGATGTCTGATAAAGCTGAGGTGATAAATAAAGCTAAATTTATCAGGCATGCACTTTACCAACAGAAATCAATGTACTGACTGTACGATATACTATAAGTTATTGAAGAAATGTTCAAATAAACCACAGAGAGGAATTTGGTTGAGTCTTAGTCCAACTTTGTATTCAGAATAATATTAAATGTAAATGTAAGTACAGTCAAAATGACAAGAAGGTTGTAATAAATAAGTGCATACCATTATATTTTACATATCATGATATGTCAAAAGATATAAGTTAAAGAACTTGATTTTCGTTTGCAAGATCAACCTGTTTTTACTTCAATGTTTTATTATAAAATTTCACACCATATGGTAAAGGAGACTTGTATTCACATGCTTACAAATTGAATGAAATTTATTAATTACATACATTTCTATTTAAATATATTTCTTTAATTTGCAATACAATAATTCCATATATGATATATTTTTTTCTTCTCAGTACACACGGTTTCCTTAAAAAAAGATATCCATTTTGCGCCATTTTTAATCAAGACAAGAAAAGGATGTCGATATATAAGATAAATGTCTTCTTTCAAGTGGAGGATAAGAATAATGTGAAAGAATACCAGCGGGCAATAGCATTTGAAAATGAAAACAAATAATCGTCTTAAAATTCAACCAGGAAGACACAATTACATAAAAACCAACTTCCTGTACCGTAATTTAAAATATTTTTACATGTAGTTTTTTATTAATTAAATAGCAAATGTTCATACAAAACACATATTCTAACTTTTGCATAGCATATTTTAGAGCTTTTATCATTGCTGTAAAAAGAATAATTTTCTTTTGTGTAACTTTTTTTATTTTATTAGGTGGTTCACATTTGACATTACAATAAAAAGGATTTGATTGAGTATATTTAATATAGTGATTGAGGGTTGTTGTACTGATAAAGTCATGTCATCATATATAATATTATTATGACATTCATACTTAGTTACCTCATGTTTAGCTTATCTTATATTCGTTATTGCTCTCAAAGTATTTATCATTGTATTCATTTGAAATAACTACTGGTTGTTGTTTTTTCTTTAAAAAATGATTTATTATTGTATTTAATTATCTCGTGTTAGTTTAAACATATTTATTTCAATATTTTACATATATTACATTTTATATGTGAATAATTGTTACATAAATTGAAAGGGATTAGAACGAAAGAAAACTTATATAGTTCCTCTCCCTAGATAACAAATGATATTTACACAAACATATATGGCAGGATAGCTATTTCATTTAAATTATTAAGTAAGAATATTGCAAGATTTAGTTTAAACATAAACAATGAAAAAAAAAGGAGAAAGAAATTAGGAATGCAACTTAATAAGACAATTTTCAGATGAGTACTAAGCAAAAGAAAACAGACAAAAATAAGTTTTTTTTATTTAGACTGGCACTTAAAGCAAATTTAGCAAATGTCTAGAAATTAACTATTTTAAGCTAACCAGAAAAAATATTATGTGTATATTAAATATATATCAAAAGAAGACAAAAGATATTGGAAAGACCAGACTAACGAACAGAGGTCAAATTGGAGATATTGCAGTATATTAAATGTCGGTAGTATAAAATACATCTAGTGGAAACGTCCGCTGCTATTTATAAATTCAAATACTGCATCTAATATCCATGTGTTTGTTTTGATAATCATTTGACGGATCTCCATATAGAAGGGTTCGAAGATCAATGGAACATATATTGGAGTCAAAGTTTGAAAAAGTGCATTTCTTATTTGTGTATAATTCTTGCAAGTAAAGAAGAAGTGGTGGTTGTCTTCAATTAGGCCACAACTACATAAAGGAGATGATACTATATTTTTTAAGAACAAGTGGTGATTAAGAGAGCTGCATTTCGTTCTAAGTCTGGTATGAAGAATTTGTGACCGTCTATCTCCATAATAGAAGTGTCGGGGAGTTTTAGTTTTGTCTTCGTTCAAAGAGCTTTTGAAAGAATTCAATGACTGTAGCTGACGGGTTTCAATCGGTAAGGAATTCCATTCACGAAGTGCCGTTGGTAGAAAGGAGTTTATAGTATAGAGTTGTTCTTGTACGAATTGTGTCGATATTTTGAGAATTACGTAAGTTATATGTAGTATTCAGGCCAACAAGATCTGGTACAATAGACGATAGATAGGATGGAGTGAGACAATTTTTCATTTTGTAAAGTTGAATAAGCTTATGCTTCTTCTTCTGTCAGAAAGTGATTCCCAATTTACATCATTGTATAAATCAGCTAACGATATCAGCTTTGTTGCACCCGTCACAATACGTGCTGCTTCATTTTGAATTTTGTCTAATTCTTGTTTTTCGTAGGATGTACAATTGTCCCATATTATATCAGCATATTCAATAATAGGACGAATGAAGGATGTATATATGATTTCTAGAGACTTTCGGTCTAGTTTGAATTTAAGTTTTACGCATTATGTTTATTCTATTCCATGCCTTTTCTTTTATATAATTGATATGGGAATGCCAAGAGCAATCATCAGAAAAAAATACTCCTAGATGTTTGTGATCAGAAACTTGAGGGATTTGTTGGCCATACATGGAGAAAGGTGTGTGATGTGGTTTATTAATTCTTCTTGATATAATCATTGACTCGGATTTAGATGGATTAAAGTTAACTAGCCATTTATCAGCCCAAAGACAAATCTTTTGTATTTCATTCTGCATCGTATCATGTGTTTCAGAAGGTGTTTCAACTATCAGATGGAGACTAGTGTCATCTGCAAAAAGATTGATGTTGGAACCAATATCTTGAACAATATCGTTGATATAAACAAGAAATAGAAGAGGCCCAAGTATTGATCCTTGGGGGACTCCAGATGCAATTGTAACACAGTCCGACATGGTACCAGGAAGAACAACTTGTTGTCTACGATTTGTTAAGTAATCAGAAAGCCATTGTTGTACATTTCCACGAATTCCAGATTCATGGAGTTTCACTAACAAACCTTGGTGCCAAACTTTATCAAATGCTTTACTAATATCAAAAAATACGACCCTCACCTCCAGGCCATCATCTAAAGCCTTGCAAAAATTATTGTAAAGATACGCAAGTTGGTTTACAGTTGAGTCACCTGGCAAGAATCCCGACTGAGATGGAGTGAAGAATGAAATGTCTCTATAAAAGTTAAAGATATGTTTAAAGACTACTCGTTCAAATACTTTTTCAATAGTGTTGAGTAAAGATATAGGTCTATAATTGTTTACAACAGCAGGATCGCCTTTCTTATATACAGCACAGACATTTGACAACTTCCAGGATGTCGCATTTTCTTGGATCGTAGTGAGAAGTTAAAGAGCTGGTGAAAGGGATGAGAAAGTTGTTGGTAGGCCTCATATAAAACTCGATAACTGATAGTGTCAGGTCCAGATGCTTTATCGGTTTTTTAAAGATTTCAGTACATCCTCAATTTCAGAAGGAGATATATAAATCGTTTCCAAGGTCTGTTGATTGTCTATGTCTGAGGGTCTGGGGGATCCCTGTTAGAGTCGTCAACCATTGTCTGGTTCTTGAAAAAAAGTGTTTAGTAGATTAGCCTTTCAGGTTCTTCAGATACAATGGAATTAGTAATTGGATCAATAAGAGAAGGAATACCTTTTTTTGTTGAGTATGATATAAAGGATTTGAGGATTTTCCACCAATCTTTTGATGATATGGAAGTTGATTTAAGATTGTCAGACAATGAAAGAAAGTAACGAGATTTGCTGTCTTTGACTAGCTGAACTGCTTCATTTCTTAGTTTCCGAAATTTTAACCAATGATGTTGACTTTGAGAAATTTTTGCTTTTCTGTAGGCGCGCTTACGTTGTCTTATTTTGTTTTTATTTGATTGTTCATCCACGGAGGGTCATTAGGCTTGATTTTTACATTTTTGTTTGGAATACAAAGTTTTGATATGTTTATGATAGTGTTTGTAATATTCTCAACAAAGGTGTCAATATCATCATCTTGAAGTTCGTCCCAGTTAACTAGATTCATCTTGCTACGCAGCAAGTCATAGTTGCCTTTCTCATAGAGCCCACACAGTTCTATCAAAAGACTTAGCTTTGGGTTTTATGTAGGTAAAAACAGCAAAGATTGGGCAGTGATACCTGACATGTTGCTGCAGAAACGGATCACCAACCCCAGCCTTTATAACATTGTCTATGTTGTTAGTAAAGAACAGGTCAATTAGTGACGAAGAATTTTCTGTAAAGTGTGTGTGTTCATCAATGATTTGGGTAAGTCCATATTGTTGACATAGTGCTTGTACTTTTCGGGAAGAAGTCTGAGAGTCAATGTTCAAATTGAAATCACCTGTTAATATCACATCTGAAATGCCAGTATCTATGGCTAGTCCCAATGAATCTTCAATAAGAGAATAATAAATATTATCGGAACTAGGGGCCGATAGAAAACGCCAAACAAAACTTTCTTAGCGCTAGACAATCTGAGTTCGAGCCATATGCATTCTAGATGATTTAGCTCAAGGTCGGTTCTACGTACATATGTGATAGATTCTTTGACATAAATCAGAACCCCACCATGATTATCGTTGGTGCGATCTTTTCTAATTGGTTCATGGAATCCAGGAAACAAGAGATCCACTGTAGACACTGAGTCACCTAGCCATGTTTCGGTGAAAGCAAGAATATCGAGATTACTTAATTCAGCATAAAGGATGTCAAGCTTAGGAAATATGCTTTGGACATTATAGTGAACAACTGTAAGATATTTTGAACATTTAAAAAAGTCATGGAGAGTGTTATCAAGAAAAGATTCTGAAGAGACTGAGCTCGAGAAAGATTGAGAATGATCTGGTCCCGGATTTGGATGAATATCTCCACACATTGTTAATAAAACATGAAGCCATAAAGTGGTAGTCGTGAAGACGATGACGAGAATACAGCTTTGAGTAAATTCAAAGTTCTCCGAGTACTTTTTATTTGGAAAAACCTTAACTTTTTTATTTTGTATGTTATGTGATACATTTATTGACAAAATTATATATTTATATATTGAATATAACTGTAGAGAATTGAGATAAATGGATATTAGAATAATTGCATGAAGGAAGACAAAATATCTTCTGTTACAGTTACAGACATACATGACGGCACTTAATCTATGTTTTCTCATTTATGTAATTGTCAGGGTAGAAAGCAAAAAAAGACAAAGCACCGTCATGAGTAGAATGTAGCTGATATCATCAGAACGTTCTGACATGCCAAAAACACATATATATCCAAAGAGACGTCTGAAAGTTAGTCTGGTATAACTACAAATGACAATAAAGTTTAAAAAAAGAGAAAAGTAGAGAAAATGAAAAATCATTACAACGTTTTAAAAGTAAGACTGTGTGATCGTTAATGATAGATATTTAATTGAAGTAAATGAAAGATTTCTATTGTCGATACAAATGTTAAGCTATTTCGGTGACAAGTTTTGGTTTTGAGAGCCAATATTGATTTAACTTGATTGTGTTCTACACGAAATTTGACTAAGGATAATTTTGCGAGATATAAATACATGTATCAAGTACTACTAAAATACTATAATCATTGGAATTAGCGAAATATATTAACATGTTTATTTACTTATATCTAGTACTATTTTCTTCACAATGAACAATAAAAAAAGGTTAGAAACATACGCAATCGCTACAATATGTGTGCCTTTCAAAATATCACATCAATGTTACTTACAAAACAATAAAATGAAGATACTATTTCAAAATTGACTATCTCGTGTTACATATACTTTTGACAAACATCGGGGAGTTTGAAACATTTTGTCATTTCATGATTAGTTTGTGAGTTTGGACATAGTATTATTCATTAAATACTTTTTTTAAATCCAATGTTTTCATTCATTAGACTACAGGGCTAGGAAACTATATATAGAAAAGTTTGGAGAGACTTTACATTTATCAAAGGCTTCTTACATTTGTTTGAATGTAGTTTGGTTTTGATGTATGTACCTTTGTATGGTCTATTAAAAATAAACGGGGTTAACCTTTAGGGGCCTAACAGTAAATCGTGTTACATATTTGAATAGCTACTGGTTGTTGATATAATGACTAAATGCATTTTTGAAAATTTGATGTTAGAAAATTATTGATTTGTTAAAGCAAAGCAAATTTATTTATTTTCTATGCTTGATATAGAAACTTATAAATAAAGTTTTTTGTCAGTTTTTTCATGTAATATAGGAGTCTTCATGAACCCAGTTTTTATTTGGAAGAGCCATAGATCTTTCTTTACCGTTGCGGGATTGTTACAAGACAGCAATTGTTGTTTCACACGGCTAGCGAAACCTAACAGTGCATATCACATAAAAGTAAGAACACTTAGCTTCTGTTATTGTACAACCCAGGCAGTAAAGCTATATGTATTCAATAAGACTTTTGTCGTCAATAAAGAATATACAGTATATAGTATACAGTATATTTAAGAATTATGTCTTAACTAATTGCCATTATAGCATTTATTTCGATAAATACAAGAATATGTTCAAACTGTTAAATAAGATTATTACTACAAGTTCAAAGTTTGTCATTCTGCTTGTTGTAAAAACTAACAATTTTAGTGATAACAAAATAAGATAGTAATGCTTAAACCATTTTATTCCGTGCAATATGGAAAAGGTTGTGGGTGTAAAATGTCTTCCGTACATTCAATCAGGGCTATTAAATTTCCAATCTTGAAGATCGTTGAGCACGACTTTTCTTTTTCATTCAATGAAAATAGAAATTTAAATTTCCAATTATACTGTGTTTTTTCTAAGAACATGAATACATGAAATTCTAATTTGATTCTCAGACAGCTCTGTTTCTTTAGACAACAGAATTTTAAAACATATATAGGGCGATAAATCGAAACAAACTGCATTTCAACATTTCAAAGTCATTTTCTATTGAATGAAAAAATATAGATAACTAATGATAATCAAATTCCGGTTACCATCAAATCAAATCCGTTGAATATTACTTAAAGTGTATAAAGCTATATATCTGCTGCAAAAATTATTGTTTGATTTTTAAATGGTTGTATCTAAGAAATTTGGTAGCACGAAATCATTGCTAAACGAACAAAACCCTGCTTAAATCAGCAAAATATATTTTGTTCTGAAACATTTATTCTGTTTACTTACAATATTCATGTGTAGAACGTTATGTTACAACTCTTGATAAAAACAGCCACAAGATAATGGAAGCAATACAATGTTACTGTTGATAATTATTTTTAAAAACAATCATATTAAGATATAGCTTTATACCCTTTAAATATTTTAGTACATAAGAAACTTGATATTATATTGATCCAGTGTTTTATCTTTTACACTCAATCTAAATATAACCTTGTCAATAGGTTTTACGTGATCTTTATATAGATGTTAAACAATCGTATAGTTTAAGTCGTATAAACTGCATATCATCTTATTCTAAGATAACTCTGGTGTACATATCATAATGGAATTGGTGAGTAAATCTTACTTTTAAACTAAGTTACCAATAGTTTAATATAAGTGTTTTCTACTATGATTATTTCTTTGATGATATAACGGCATGATATGGTATATATATCGATCACCATAGTTGAACACTAAAGAGGGGGATGATCATTGGATATCATTCATGTAATTAGAGCAATCCTCGATTACGTAATTATTTTATAACATATTTTCAAATATATGACCCACATTTTGATATAATTGAAGGACTTTTATTCATATACAGTATACTTAGATAGTAAGGACATAAGTCTTCTATTGAAAGAGAAAAATAAATTGTTATCAAATATGTTAAGATGATTTATTTCCAATCTTAGAGCATCATTAAAGGCCCTAAACTGGTTATTGCTCTGGATATTGGAAGTACTTACTCGGGATATGCGTGGCAGTTCAGAGACGAATTCGAGACCAACAGAAATGAAATTCATTTCAACACAAATTGGGGAGGCGGAGCACTTCAGGTTTGTTTTATGGCCTAGTAATTTGTTTAACATAAAACAATTAACATGCTATTTGTAGTAAATTTTATACATGTGCATACTGATTGGGAAAAAAACATTACGAGACACGAAAGTGCTTAAAAAAGAGCGACAGAAAATTGAGATTATATTTATGATTTCGTGGTGATTTTTGTTAATGATTACATTTTCAACAGTCATTTAACCAAGATATGTTTACTTGTAGTAAGTGCTGTAGAAATATCATTTACAAAAGAGCAAAGTAGCAAAGTAAAATGAAAACAACAAACAAAACACACAAACAAACAAAAATCAAGGAATTGTTTTTGTTGTTTTTAACATTTATTTATTGCATTGACCCTAATTTCGATCAATTCATTTCATTGATTAGTTGTAGTGAATAGAACATTGAACATGACGTTTACAATCGATAATGACATAAATTTCTTCTTGTGTTAAAAGTTAATGTTATATCGTTATAATTAAAAGCAAGCAGATATCAATGTTAACTACATAGATTTATAACGGTGTACATAGTTAGCTTATACCATGATTGTATTTCACACAAAAGCTATCTCGAGTTACAATATATAGTTGATCAATAATGTTTAATCTTACTTAAGTTTGGTATGATTTTGTCCATGCACCGTTCGCTTTTAAAGATATAAACTTACATTTTATAACGTATTTTTGATGTATTCTTTTTCAAAATCCAAACAAAGATTTTATATATATATATATGGCTTTATACACTTTAGATAGTTTAGTAGTAATGCATGTTAAAGTCTTCTGTGCCAAATTTCCCCGGGTAATGCTATCGACAGAATGCACCTTGTAAATAGATACTGCTTTCATTAAAATATCATCAAAGTACCAGTTTATATCAGTATAGCATAATAGTGAAACTTCAATTTAGCACATTCGAGTAGTTTTAAGAGAAGTTTCAGTTTAAACAAATAAATATAAAAAGTGAGATGCCTATGAAATCGCAATTATAGTCCAGATTTTGTTTTATTTTTTGCCATCTTTTTGGCGATAGAAATGAATAATTGATAAGTTTCTGTTTAATTGTCTTCTCAAGAGGGGCTTCTTCATTTAAATTATTTAAGTTTCGGAATCCCACAAGTACCTTTTGATTGTTTTCTTAACAGCTACCTTACGGATAGTTAATGGTTCTATTAAAGCAAATTATACATAAATGAGCACCAAAGTCCCCCTCCACCACCATTAAAAGCTTATTTACTTTCTTGCCTTGTAGCTTCACAAAACAACCACGTGTATTCTTTTAGAACGTCAAAAGAATAGAGAAGGAGCAACAGACGAAAGACAAACAGGCATAGCACATTCTGGAAGTAGTATCAAACAGGAAGATGATACTGCTGGTATGAAGATAAAAATTGGGTTTGAAGCTGAACGTGCATACATTGGAAAAGCAATGGAGAAAGAAGATACCCACGAGCTTATGGGACAATATTACTTCTTCAGAAGATTCAAACTAATGCTGTATAGAAAGGTAGCCAAAATATGCTTCGATAAAGTCCAGTTGTATTCATATTTCATTTTAAAAATGTACTTTAAATTAGTTGAATGTTCGAATTGTCTCTGAAAAGACTTAACAAAATTGAACTAAACTGAACATGGAATAACTAGCCCACAAAATATAAGACTTACATTGCATGTCATGTTACTTTCGGTTATACATTGTGTATAATATTATACATGTATTTTATTGTATTCTAAAGATTTCTTAATTTGTTATTCAATGTAAAAGATTCTTCAGAATAAGTATGCTTGCTGGTAAATTGATGAATTGAATAGAATACCAAATGCATAAACAAAGTTTTTTGCTATACTTGGAGCTTATATTTATATTAAAAATATTTTTTTTAGTTTCATCATATCTACAATAAACAATAATTTTAAATACATATTAAACTATATAATAATGTAAAGGGAAGGTCAAATGTTAAAATTACAACCTGTCATACTTGAATTATGTTTGAGTTTCAAATTTTAAATTTACCTTACAATTGATTGTGTTTAATGAGTACTGTAAATGTTACTTTTGAGTTTCAGACATTTTGTCTTTTGATTTATATCTCAATCAATAAAATAAAAAAAGGTCTGAAACTATTTAAATTTAAGAAATTCAATCGGGAAATGTCAGTAGAAGACCAGTTAGGACAACGCATGCCTTTCTTTGATGTAATGACATGGTTTATCAAATCACTTAAGGACCATTGTTTGAAAAAACTACATAATCAAGGAGTAACAATTGACGTAAACAAAACTCTTTTTGTTGTCACCGTTCCTGCTATATGGACAGACGAAGCAAAGAAATTCATGAGAGATGCATCGATAGCGGTACAATTACATTTGTAACATTTTGGTGAATTTTAGAATTTCTATTATGTCATTGTGGGGGGAAAGTTACACGACTATGTTTCCTTTGAAATTTGTTAATCATAAATTATACAGGTAAAGAAAATGTTTTACTTATATTATCAGTGGTGAATTTATGGTGAGATTATTAAATGTAATAACATAAACGTTTATGTCTTATCATTTCAACTTCCAAATGCCGGATGGTCAGAAATCCTTTCTTCTGTCACACAGGCTGGTATTGGGAAAAGAAATGTTTTGCTAGCCTTAGAACCTGAAGCTGCAGCTATACATTGTTTGCATCTTCCTGAGGGACAAAGGAGAGACATGAATGACCTTGGTATGAAAGGGCAAAAGTTTCTTGTAGCCGACTTGGGAGGTATATTTAAATTTTAATAGACAAATTTACATGCTTGTAAAAGTTTGCTTTCTGTATCAAGTTATTAAGATCATACAATTTGTATGTAAATTTATATATGAACAGTGCAATACTTCACAACTTATATCACATGAATGTCTTTGTAATGTCTAATATATTCGTGAGCTATGTATGTCAGTATGCAAGAAATCTTACTTTTGAGAAAAAACGTTTCAATTTTAGGCGGTACAGCTGATTTATCCGCTGTCGAAGTGGACGGTACCGGTTCTCTAAAAGAAATATGCCCCCCTTTTGGCGATCAAGTCGGTGGCCAAAATATAAATGAGGCATTCTTTCAAATTTGCCACGAAAGTTTTGAAGGACCAGGATGGAAAGAAACATTTAGCAAAACAACGCCAGTCGAAATGTTGAAAATGGAAGCAGATTTCGAAAGGAAAAAAGTAACAATAGGTTCCGAAGATGAAGAAACAGAAATGATTGATGTAGAAATCCCAGCACCAGTAAGAGATAAACTAGAAGATAAATCAATCAGACTCAAGGACAGTAAATACCTTGCGTTCAAAAACAGAGAGTTAATGTTTAATTCTATGCGTGTTCGGGACAAGCTGTTCAAAGAAACGTGCACAGTTGTTTATAATTCAATAGGGAAAGTGCTAAATGATACGCAGGCGAAGGGATTAAGGACAGTTATTCTTGTTGGTGGATTTTCTGAGTCACCAATTGTGGTTGAAAGCATTCGAAAACTGATAACAAATGATTTCCCGGAAATAAAAGTTTTTTTACCTTCATCGCCATTTAAAGCTGTTTTAAAAGGAGCAGTGCTCTTTGGACAAGATCCCCTAATATTTAGAAGCCGTATTAGCAGAGAAACGTTTGGAATTAAAACTAATAAAACTTTTGACTCTAAACAACACGATGAGATGAAGAAGTGGAGAAATAAAGAGACAGGAAAGTACTATTGCAGAGATATCTTCGATATCCATGTACGCAAAGGACAGTCGGTTGTGCTAGGTAATAGACAACAGGTGCAAAGTTACTTCCCGTTATATAAAGATCAAACAAAACTTGGTTTTCCAGTTTTTACGTCAAATTCATTAATCCCTAAGTACACAACAGACGATGGTTGCAAACAAATTGCCAAGGTAACAATAGATATATCTGATACTTCCAGAGGTACTGACAGAGAATGCGAAGTAACCATGATATATGGAGGGACAGAGTTGTCGGTTATTGCGACAGACAAGGCATCTGGAAAGGAATTCAATGCAGACATTCACTTCGGAAACATGTAAACTCAACAAATGCCACGAGGGAAATTTGCAGGATCGACTAACTTTGACATAGCTGAACACACAGGTCAAAACATCTAAATCAAATGTTTGTGAGAGAAATAGAAACGAACGCGTACATCACTACAGACAAATTCAGTTTCAATTTGAAAAATAAGAAAACGACGTATGCATAGTGAGGAATATCTTCGAAAGGTTCAAATTGGATGATTGTGTTGCACTGGTTATTTTACAACAACAACAACAATCACTTTTATTTTTCAGTCAGTTTACAATAGTAACAACATGACATATAATCAATATAAGTTTCAAACAGTATGTGGGTTTAACTTAGAACTAAGTATTATTATTCCAGGGGGACAGTAAAATAGATTATGAAATAAAAAAAGAGAAAAATATACATAAATATTTATATATGGTATTGTCATATTGACTTAGACAATAACGACAATATTACTGTGGATTGTATAAATAGCCTCTTTTCTGAGTAAAATTACCGTGGTATTTTTTAACTATAATCTATAAATACAATGCGTATTTCTATAGTAGATACGATGGCACGATTTCCATGATATTTGCGCTTGTTGATAAATTATAATTAATAGTACCGTCTCGTTCGGAAGTCACGTGCTATGTTTGTTGCGATTTGATTAGTTGGGACATATACATAAAACAAAATAGGTCATGTTTTGGACAAAACTGGTTTCATTGACTGGATGTATATCGATTATGATTTTAAATTCTATATGGATTTACCAGCTTTGCAACTTGAGAGGTTTGTTTTCAGTAGATTACCTTTTGAATGTATTCATAATCTCGCGTACAAAGCGGGCGATATTAATCAGTAACTTTCTTGAAGTTGAACACATTAGGGATGAAAACTTGATAATATTTGGTCGAGTATAATAATATTTCGGAATGAATTTTGTTCTTAACGCTTGGAAAAAAGGACATTTAAGGAGAAAAATGGAATTCGTCACCCAAATCGTTGAGCTGACAGTGGCGACATTTACGTTCCTCGTATGGGACAAATGACTGTCTCCATCTACCTGTTTCTATTGGCAACCTATGATTTCCGGTTCTAAAGTAGAAAAGTGATCATTACATCATCTCTTGCTGGCTTGGCATATGTGTTAAATCAGTGTCTTTCGAAATGATCAAAGTAGAACAAATATCTGATTATCAATGTTTATACATTTTTGCATCGATCTCGCTTTGATTATTCTACATGTCTTAACTTATTTTATGTTAGTTTTTTTTGTGTATGTAAGTTGTGATATTTTCTTCATATGTACAATGTATTTAATGTTACAAGGCATTAGACATTTCTTATTTTATGCTTTTCAGTGGATTACTGATTTATCCGTGAAAATTATATTTGGTAATTTCACAGTGAAAATTATCAAAATATAATTTCACTCTTTTCAATGACGAAACTACTTTTTTAAGATTTTCCCCATGTGGTACCTCAATTTTATTTTTGCTGACAATTCTGACAATGTCAGGCTGTTTAAAGAAAAAGCAAAACTGAAATTGATAAATAACTTAAATGTCAAAAGTAATAAAAAGAAGAAAACTTACTTCTATTCATTCAAATTCATGAAATTCCAATCACCAAATTTCGTTTTTTTTGTTTCATTTTGACAGTCTCAAAAATACATTCCTCCCCCCATGCAAAACTGCTCTTGATGACATTTTGGCATATTAAAGTATCCTACGAGCAATAACTACCGTATGCTTTATGAAAAATTGAAAGCATTGACAGCCATAACTCGAAGAATAAGTTAAATCAACCTAGCGTTCTTGAGGCAGGTTTCCAAGTTTTCCATTTTCCTAGCTCCTTTTCTGAATGTTTTCACATCTGTCAACACTTATTTTTTGTCTGTTACAATCCTCAAATAAGTTTTCTTTCTTTTAAAAATGTGTATGACTAACAAATCCAAATTATATCCCTCTGAATCTTACACAATTATTTTCCTCCCATGAAATTCACAACTTTAAAAAATGGCTGCCGCTTACAATTTACAAAGCCAGGTCTAATATAAATTCGCACTAAGTAACAGAAATATGGATGGATGGTTGGATTTTTTCTCCTACAAGAATTGTTTGTTTTATTATCAAAACAAGCGATCATTCATATTTTTTTAATAAAATTAATAAATATCACCGTCATTTTAATGTTGATTGGCGGACTTATTTTTCAGCTCAAGACTTCTTTTTTTTAATGAGAAATTCCGAATAAATGGGGCTCTCAATGGGGGAAACAGTTTTAATATTAACGTTAAAATTATGGAAATTTCGTTTTAACTTGTTTTTAAGCATAAAATAAAAAGAAAATTTGTCTGTTTGTTGTGTAAGATGTAATTTTATTTCATCTCGTGAACTTTAAAAACAGTATTCTCACTCGTGGCTTCGCCACTCGTGAGAATACTGTTTTTAAAGCCCACTCGATGAAATAAAATTTCATCTTACACACAAACAAACAAGTATCCTCTTTATAAATATGTTTTATTCATATAAATCATTTCATGTTTTTTTAATAAATATGTTTTATTATTATAATTTATTGCATGTAGTAATTTCAGAAGTAGATACTTCTGCTTCTGTTACTAGTATTTGGTTTCAACAAATTTATTTTAAGTTATATTTCTGAGATATTTACACAACTACAGTATCATGATTGAGTGAATTGATCTGAAAGCTTATTTACTAGACGCCGGTAGACATTTTGGCGATTCAAATTATTTGATATTATGTGTACACCCAGGATTGAATATGTTAACATTATTATAAGACAAAGTAAATAAATAAATAAATAAAGGAATAAAGAAATAAAGAAAATCTTGAAAAAACATAGGGCATTGTTAAAAGTTTTGCTTCAAGAAAGAAATTCTTTATTTACAGTTATATTTGGTATAAACAATTACAGGTATATGATGTTTAGCTTAGGCATACTAGTAAAAATTAAATAATAGTTTACTAGATCTATATATATCATTTTTTATCTGATTCAGAATCATGTCTGACTAGCGTATTCATGTATATCTCGCAGTTCAACGGCATTTAAATTCTTTTTATTATAGAGTAATGCTTAAAAATAGTAATGCTCAAAGAATGAATTTCTTAAAGTAGTTTATTGAGAAGTGAGTAATGTTGAATGAATGATATCTACAGAATCAGTTATGCTCGTTTTATAATGTTCATTTTGTAACTATCGATCAGTGATTTATATATACAAAATAGGAAATGCTAAGCCACCTGACAAACTGTTACATAGGCGTTTAAAGGCATTTTCAAAGAGTTTATATAACATTATCATCACATTGATAACAAACAAATCGGTTATTAAACTGTTAAAGGTTTCTATTATGAAAACCTAGAAGAATTTCCATAATGTATTGAACATAACATTAGGCAGTATCAAAATATAGCATGCCCATAGCTTAACATATTTGTAAAAATCTACTTAAAATATACCTTATATTTATCAGCAGTTATATGGGATGATTTTAATACCAAATAATATTTACAAAAAACAGATATTTCAAAGGTGGTAAATGCTCACGCGTAACACTATGAATCAGTTAATCTGATAAAAAAATGAGTTGTTAAGTTTGCATTCAAATAACCAGTTTTCTTCTTTTGAACATTTTTTTCTCCTTTTTTTCCAAAAATGTTAGAGATTTTAATTAAAAACGCTTGCGACATTGGCAAATGAAATATTCATTAAGTTATGATTATAATTCTGGTGGTGTAAAGGACTGACTTACATCCAAAATGTGCAAAATGTGTTACAAAAAGTGGTCTGTTGTGACAGTATGTTGTTGTTGTTACAGTTGTAACAGTCTTTTACTAGTGTCTAGTAAATCTTAATGCTAAAACGGAATTTCTTCAATGTACCGCATATGAAAAAGGCGTGAATATTTTTGAAATATTTGAAAATAACGATATGGCTTGTGTGGCAGTTGTAAAATATAATAATTTGTGATTTTTCAGGATTATTGGTTTTAGAATTTTAGTGTTGAGGATTATATCCGCCGCTTAAGCCGGTGCTAGATTGTATGGAGAAGTTGGACTTTCCTTTATTATTTTATAAATAGGATTAATTTAAGTTTGTTATTTGTTTTTGTTAATATTGCGTTCGAATAATTCCTCACCATTGCTCATAGAAAATAATGAAATTCATCTCATAGTATAAAAGCTTGAAGCGACCCTTATATGATAATTCATGTGTTGGCATATAAACATATATTTCATAGTCGATAAAACGAAAAAATGAGTCACCAAAATATTAACCAAAATAAAGAAAATAAGAATCCCTAAAGAAAGCCCATCACAGCAAAATTGAAAATGTTGCAGGCTCGGTTTGATTGAGCCTGTTCATGGACGGTACTGTCAAGTGCAAACTATAGTCCACGCCCCTAGCACCGGCTTAAGCAGAATTCAACATTTAACATTAACTGTTACACTTTGGAATTTTGAAACATCCACAGGTGTGTTCACACATGGCGTTTATCATGAAACCTTCAATGTGATATATACGTAAGTGCCGTGCCATTCCATGAAAAGCGGTATATGGTCCCCAAGTAAAAAGTGCATGTGCCTTAAACGAGAAAACAATCGAGCCTTTATTCGTTTTTATCTAACCTACTTAATATTATCGTTCTACTAAGTGAAACTTTTATCTCAATAAAAATTTTCAATTATCTCATGTGTTGTCCCTTTATCTGTTAATGTTACGTGGGGAAAATACAAAGATCAGTTTCTCTTTATTTGATATGGGCGTACTGTGAGGTGAATTTTCCTATTCAATATGGAACTTGTGAGTAAATTTTCAATATCTCTGATTAATAAACACATGTAGCATAATATTGTTCAAGTCGAAATATTATTTTACACCAATATGCTTGACATTTAGCCTCTATCAGGGGGAGTGGCTTAAGTTCAATTAGATATAATCATCATGACGTATGTCATCATCTCTATGTAAAGTTATGTGGGTGACAACCGTGACATTATTTTGCAAAAGCCGAGACGCACCATGATTTTCACTTTTTCGGCGGTTTTTGGTTTAAAGTATCACTTGATAAAAAAAGTTTCTGATATAAGGTATCATTTCGTATAGAGACTTACAATTAACTAATTTTCGACATGATATTAAGCTTGTTTAATGCTTTCTTTATGAAGTCTCCGTAGCTTTTTATATGACGTTTTATTCTTTATGAAATTTTTTCAACCAATTGCTGCTTTTAAATTGTACCACGTGATATTCCCAAATTGGACGCTGTAGCATACAATATGTTTTTGGACAGTTAGATGCATATGACGTTTTCCTTTAAACATTCGAACTCCAGATCCCTCTCATTCTTATTGAACACTTTCAATATGGTATTCAGAAAAATTAGATTTAATTATATATTAGAAATAAAAAAAATAAAGATTCAAAGATTCAAAACTATTGATACCTATGAAAATATTTGTTCCCGTGATAAAATAACATTATAAAAAACCATTTTGCATTTTAAAAGCATTTTTTGAGCATCATTAAACGGTATAACGACGTTTTTACGTAGAAACTGCTTTGAGAAAGATTACCAGTCATTTCTTTGAGACAAAAGTCCATTACATTTCTACAAAGAAGCCGCTTTCTAACTAAATCATTGATATTTGTAAATTATTATCATGTGTAAACCGATTGTCTACGGATAAGACATTATGGAGTTGTTCCTTTCATTTTCATTTAACCTTTTTCAACACCACATACGACATGTTCAACCTCACACGCCACATTTCAAACCTCAGAAATACAGTTTTATGAACCACATAATGTTAAGAGGTATACGCAAACCATACACGCAGATTGACTTTACCATAAGATCAAATCGACAGTCAAACAGACAGACACCACCAGATCACCATGTAACACCTGAAGGTTATCGGTGGTTATGTAACAGATCGTCTTATTGTGAATCGCTCCGCTCATGAGATAACGAAGATTGAATAGGGAATAAACTTTCAAACATATATGAAGAGATATAAAAGATCGACTAGGATATCATATGGTGGTAGGAAAATGTAATATCGCAATACACCTGTAATATAAACCTATATGTAACGGTTCCAGATATCAAATAGGCATCACATCAAGTACATCGACTCAAACCCTCTTATATGTTTGATAACATATATTCGATCCCCTTTTTATATGTTAAATGATAAATTCTCTATATTTCATCAGTATAATCCTCTCTTTAGTAAATTCATCCGATCTTCTCTAACGTGTTTGAACCTATATTTTGACTGTACATGTCCACCAATATCATCCCCTTTTTTATCCATTTGATCACCTTTAAAATGTTCTATATTTTAATTTCCTGTACATCTGTACATCTTATCCATCCATTTTATCTGTACTACTTTTTAACAGTTGTTTCTCTGTACTACTCCAATCGTTTGATCCCATTTTTTACGTTAAAAATAATGTTGATATTATTTAGCATTAGACATGACAACAAACCACGAAATAATTCTGTTTGTATATTGATGGTGAGTGTGCGATACATGATCAGATATTACATATCGATATAAAGCTGACAATTAAATTTTCATGAACAAAATATCAGTATTCATCATAAAAGTGTTCATACCTTAGAACCCTACCAACATATTTTCAGGAAATGGTTTATGATAATGCCCAAAAGATAAATTTCAATTGTTTTTATCAACATCTAAAATACTTATGGAAAACGTCGATTGTAGACCAATCAACATTAATATGCATGGTTATTTAATTTATTTATTAGAGTATTATAAAAGGACCACAACTGGTAATCGCTTTAGACATAGGAAGTACTTACTCTGGATACGCTTGGCAACACAGATCTGAGTTCGAGACCAATAGAAACAATGTTAATTTTAACACTAGCTGGGGAGCAGGTGCTTTACAGGTATGGACAGTATGTTTTTCATTCAATTACAATCATTTTGGTAAGACAAACGTGCTTTGAAATAGATAATAAACACTTAAAACGATGTCTTAAGCGTTGTGATATTTTAGATGTTTTTGTTTTTACATGTACAGCTCCACAAAACATCCACGTGTATTCTCATCGAAATCAAGAAAGGAACAGGAAAAGTGGTAAACAAAATACCAGATGTCAAAGGTCTAATTAATGAAAATAAATTCAGTATCACGGAAGATGTAGAAACAAAAATAGGACAGGAGGCAGAGAGGGTATATAGCGGAATTGCCAAGAAGTATAAAATTCATGAGATCTATGGCCAATACTACTTTTTTAAAAGTTTCAAAATAGCTCTGTATGATAAGGTAAGTTTATATTATACTATACATATTTAAAATCATTAGGAGTGCATCAATATTTTATATTAACAAAGATATTCAGCTCATTTGTAACATTTATATTACAAAATATCCGATTAATATTTCGGAACGAAGACAAATAACTAATCAGCACCCATTTGCTTTACATATTACCTGTCCTATACTATATTACATGACACTATGCTTGACTAGACTATACTATATTTTACTTCTTTTCCATAACCACAACATTGCATTGTTAAAATTAATAAAAGCAAGGAAAGAATTGAGGTTTAAGATGTAACGATGTCCTTACAGAGATCATTGTAATGCTTCGAAGTTTTCTATTGTGTTCAGGTTGTTTGAGCTTGTCTGCGCTACCGCGGCGCCTTCACTACGTGAATTTCTCCCGCACTGCACTGACGGCGTCGAGGAGTAGTTCGTTTGCACTTCTCAAAAGAGTGATAGAAACGCATAGACACCCACTTTGCGTTTAATCATTTATATTTTATTAAAATCAAATATGAGTTGATAAATGTTATTTTCACATACTAGTACAATTTTCTTTACTGTTCTTTTGATTATACGTACTTTTACATTGAAGCATCTTAATCGTTCGATAGAGGACCAGATAGATCAACCACTTCGCTTGTTTGATGTAATGACATTGTTCATCAAAGCATTAAAGGATCATTGTTTAAAGAAACTACAGACACAAGGGATGCCAGTTGACATTAACAAAACTCTTTTTGTCGTAACTGTTCCTGCAATATGGACAGATGAAGCAAAGAAATTCATGAGAGATGCATCTATAGCGGTATCAAAGCATTTGTTTTATTTGCAAACAAGCCAGTGTTGATGCTGTAAAAATCTGCTTCTTATCTGCATATGCTTTTCACTCTATACCATTAATTTTTTAAACTTGGACAGCGTTAAAGAATTGGGGAACACACAAACACACGCGCGCGTGTGCACATACGCACACATTGAGTCGTTGATGCGGCATTGGAGATGCTTTATTTTGTTGGTTTTTATGCCTCTCTGAAACAGACTTGATGAAACCAAGTCTTATTTGGTCACTGGCTTATTTCTAATTTCATTGGTGCCCTTTACTACATCGCGTAGTTTTAACATTATCTGAATTCATGATTGTTTGGATCGAAGTTGTTGTCTGTATGCTTTACTAAAACTGCGCCTAGAATTTGATGTCCATCTTGTTGCTTTATTCTAATAACAGATCCATATCTGTCTATTATTTATTTTGAAGACTAAAATTTGATTTAAAAAGAACTTGTACGAAGGGTTAGGGGGCTAGTTGTCTTAGCTGTATTTTCCACTCTTAACAGGCTCAACCAAACCAAGTTTTTGTTTATATTTATTTTACTGCTTTAATTGCCTTCATGGGATCTACCTGTTGCAGAATATATCATATCGTATCGCCAAATCAAACGTGTTACAAAACTCGATTTTCGCTACTGACGGAAATACATTCTTTGATAAATTTTTAATTTTTAGTATATTTTACATCATATTCACCAGCTAAAAATCCATATTTGTATGATATCCACAACAAACCTATATTTTTTACACAAATAGGCTGGTATTGGTAACAAGAACTTGTTATTGGCGTTGGAACCAGAAGCTGCAGCTATATATTGTTTAAATCTCCCTAAGGGTGAAAGAAAAGACATGAATGATCTTGGTATGAAAGGACAGAAGTTTCTAGTGGCCGACTTGGGAGGTATTGATAATGATGTAGAATACAATGTAAAGATAAGTTCGCATTCCCAACACAACTTGTGTACAATTCATTAATGAATGGCAATTTTCGGTTATGTACATTAGTAATAAAAAAAATTATGATTTTTATTATACTGAAATAATTATGCTGAAAATCATTTTGATATAATTTAAAAATATACCTTTTGGCAGGTGGAACAGCTGATTTATTTGCAGTGAAAGTCGAAGAATCAGGTTTTGTTAGGGAAATCTGTCCACCACAAGGTGATCCGGTCGGCGGTCAAAATATAAATAGGGCATTCCTGCAAGTTTTTTATGATTCATTTGAAGGAGATGATTGGAAGAAGACTTTTGGTAAAGCCACTCCAGTTGAAATGTGGAAAATGGAAGCCGATTTTGAGAAAAAGAAGGTTGAAATTGGGTTAGGGCCCAGTTACACAGACGGTCGGTCCCCAATCGGTTATTTAATTTTAAATTTACTTGCTGTTATGATCGGTTGTCATGCGTGATTTTATTTTAGGTTTTCTGTGTAAACGGCCATCGGTGACAGAAAGCAAACTCAAACGGGAATGGGTCGATGATTAAATGCTGAAATACTTTTGGTTTTTATCGTTTGTAAATCGGAGCTAAATCGGGCGTAACGCTGATAAATCGGTGTTTGATAGCTAGTCATCAGTGGTTAAACACTTTCCGTCAGATATGGCCGGTGATTCATATTTGGTTATCTTTGTCCGATCGGCGAATATCGGTGATTAAGAGCTTGCATATCTCGTGATATAGGTTGCCGTCGGTAATTTTTAAAATATTTTCACCGATCGAGAATTTTAAACGTGTTTAAAAAATCTCAATCGGTAATTTTTCACCGACGAAACTTATCTTTCCCCAATAGCAGTTGATAGGTGGAAAACAGGTGACCAATAGGTGATATCGGTGATAAATACGCTGTCATCGGTCCACTCCATAATTTGGCTAAAAAAACTACCGATCAATCACCGATGGCTCTGTGTAACTGGGGTGTCAGACGATCCAGATGGTGAAATGATTTATCTGGAAGTTTCTGTATCAATACGTGATAGGATGCATGCTCAGAAAGTCAAACTGAAGGATACAGGATATATTGATTTTCAGGATAATCAGTTTATGTTTAACTCGGAGCTGATACGAAAAAATCTTTTTCGGGAAACATGTAAACTTATTTATGGAACTATTAAGAAAGTTCTTAATGAACCTGAAGCAAATGGATTGAAAACAGTCGTACTTGTTGGAGGTTTTGCTGAATCGCCAATCGTCGTCGAAAATATCCGGAAAATGATTGCCAATGATTTTCAAGGAATAAAGGTTGTTATACCATCATCGCCTTTCAAAGCTGTCTTGTATGGGGCAGTACTCTTTGGTCATAATCCTATGATAATCAGAAGCAGAATGAATAAATATGGACTAAAAATAAACGTTAAGTATCCAAATATACATGACGAGCAAAAAAATTTGAACCAGGAGATCACCGGAGAAATGCTCCACATATGGGATGATTATGTATATTTTAACTGGGGTATTGATTTTTTTTGTTGACCTTCCTGTAAGATACGTAATTTGACAGGTCTTTTTATAGAGCTGATTTACATCGTAAAATATATATCACGGAGTTCATACAGAAATATTGAAGCTATCAGCATGATCTTGCCAGCAGTAGTGATGTTCTCCCCATTCGTGTATGGTGTAATAGACCTTATTTGATTTGACAGGTTGCTATCAGTAAATTTCATGGTATTTAATGCAATGCATTTCTTCAAAGTTAACACATATGGATTTAAGGCTCATTTGTTAAATTGTTTACATCAAAAGGCAATTAAAGTAGTTATAGCAATTTTTACGATTTTTTCTCTTCAAATGATATAATTGCACCATACTATGGTGAAATAATAAAGGAGAAATTCATTGTCAGAATATAACTCGTCTGTGGCAATGCGCATATTTGAGTACAAGCATTTCTGACCAACATGTGTTACAAAAACCCTTCTCAAAGCAACATGTTCCAAGCTTATGCTGAGTTTGACGAAAATTTAGAAAATGTATTTAAAAACAAAATAGTGTGAAGTAAACAAAGAAAGAAACTTACACATTGCAAACGGCACTTAAAAAGTCCACGTTAAGTCAAAATATGCTAAAAAAAAACCCGAAAACATTGCGTTAACATGCAATAAAAAATATGGTGATAAATACTGCTAAATCAGTCATTAATGGCGATAACATAATTGTACAATTTCACTTGACTATATTTTTCTTAAAATCTTAGTACATTTTTGTCAAGCTTGATTTTCTAAGATAGTTTGGCTAGAAACTATCAGAGCTAGGTCTGATTACAGTCTATGACAGCTTCCCTTTTTCCGAGGAACCATACATTTCTGTAACACAATACTTTTCTGTTGAAGAACAATATAATAAATATGAAGTTAAGGTAAAAGGAAACCGCCAAAATGAATATAACTTCACTCATGCATCTGCGAATGCCACTATTAAAGAAACACCATTTTCATGCTAAAACGACAACATTAAACGTTGACGTTTTCTTATATTATTGCATAGGGATGTGGACGGTAGCTTGCACCATTCAAACATCTAGGGGCCTGCATTTTTTAGAATATCTAAATTCTTTTATATACTGATCAAAGTCAGCACGTACAATATTTTACAATGATAGTTATTTATTGTCAAGACATTATATTTTAGGAAGTGTTCTGTCGTTTGTTATATGCAAATATACATAAACAATTTAACAGTTGGGCAGCGTTTTACTAACGTACTTACGCTTAAGCTTTGCGTAAGTTTTAACTCACGTAAGATTTTTACGTAAAGGCGTTTTACTAAAAATTGCGTAAGTAAGAATTTCGTCAGTTTTCTGTACGAAATCTGCTGTGGTCATAGTATTATTTTTACAATAGCTTTAGCTCTTAGATTTGGTTCGCGATTGCTGATCATGGTCATGCAACTACATAGTTAGGTAAAGAAGCAGACGCTTGTTTTGGTTGAGTCTATTATGTTTTGTTAAGGGGGTGAGTTGTCATACACAAATTTACAATTTATATGCATTTATTTTTTTCCAATGATTGTTATTATCTTAAATGCTTCTGGGATTGTTGTTTTATCAATGCATTTGTAAATAAGATATGTTATATGTCTATTAACGGATTAATTTTAATGAACACGAAATTAGTTCACACCTTTATGTGTATTGATAACGTGATGGTTTAAGCCAATGAAAACACATCAATATTATTACAATCAGGCAAAGAGTAAATGTATTGCAAGTATTTGTTCATATATTTTCGGCAGGATAAACTGTCCGAGGAGGGCCATGCATTTTCGTATCAACGTAAAATGGCTGCCATTAACAGTATCAAGTGATTATCCCAAGCACCACCGCGACTTAGCGCGGGAATTATAAATATAGCTAAACTCGGTTCGTCGCATAGGATGGAAAATACCTTTCTCGTTTTATTGTAATAATTATTTACAAACTGTGTCTTTCGGAGTTTTTTATCAATATATTGTTACGGTCTAGTGGGTCGGGGGACTCTTAAGTACCCTTTACTCTAACTGTATATTGGCACTCAGGCTTTCAAGGTATTAATGCAATCAGATACAGAACTGATGTGCTGTGTAGCTCTCCAACTCATCTGATAGTAATCAGGCAACACCATTGTAAACAGTTATAAAATTTATTCAACAAGTTAATATTTCTAATAACAATAATTGATAAACAATCATGAATAATTTATATCAGCAAACAGCTCTCATAATAACTCAAGACAGCTCACAAATCACCTTACAATAATTTAGTACTGGTACGCCTTCAAAATAATATTTAGTACTGATGAACCAAAAATCTCCGTGTTACGTGTATCAGTTTTACTCCGCGGTGACAATAGTTACCAGATTTACTTCAATTAACAGTGTAGTAAAAATACTTAAATGTTATATTATGTAAAAGTTATATAAAATTCCAATATCAGATGTATAAAAATAGCTAAGCTCTGTATTTAAGTCAACTAGATATAACTCAAGTATTTTAATAAACTTGACTTGTTTGTTACTTAAATTTAACATAACATTTAAGATTTCAGCAGACAAATTAACGTACGTCTACTACCAACAATTTCTAAATCTGAATTTTTTTGTGACCAAGAATCTGCTGCTTTTATACTAGGCAGTGGTAGAAATTACCAAAAAATGGGTAAAATACCAAGAATTGGTAGAGTCGACCCTGGATTGGTAGAATGGTAGCTACCCAAAAATGGTCGATACCAAATACGGGTAGAAAACTGTCCACCAAAAACTGGCAGAAAACTGTCCACCAAAAACTGGTAGAAACTATCTACCAAAACCGGGTAGAAACTATATACCAAAAACTGGTAGAAAACTATCTACCAAAAACGGGTAGAAAACTATCTACCAAAAACGGGTAGAAAACTATCTTAATTTAACCAGACAAAATTGCTAAATTTCCTAAGAAAAATCAAGACTTTAAATGAAATCTAACATTGAATATTAAAATAAATAATTTACTTTCCATAAAACAGGAAAAGTCACCTAAGTGTCACATAATACCGGGGTATTACAATATAACCAATAATGATGTTAATATGAATAAATGATCATATCTCAAATCTGTGACTATGACTTACAATGAAATTCTACCTTTAGTGTATTAAAAAGGTTTTCAATCTCCTGTAATTTTATTCTGTGATTATGCTTCAAAGCAGTCAATTGACCGTGAATTTTCTTTTCATATTTTGATTTCCTTGAAATCATTTTTCTCATCTGAAGGCATGCAACTTTAATATGATGATACATTAATTACATTCCATGAAAATGATTAAAGATATAAAATATCTCATGACATGTTTGTTCATTTTACATGCAGCAAACATAAAAAGTCTTCACACCTATATTACATACAAATGTATGTAATATTTTTCTTGTTACTTAAAGTTACGCTTAAAATTTGTTGACTTAACACTAAAGTAAGTAAGACTGACATCATTTATGAATAATGGCAGGGAAGAAGGCGAGAACTTTAGAGACTGGTGTGATTGGTGAAAAGTAAAGTTTTAGTAAGGAAAAGATAATGTGGCTTTATGGACTTATCAAAAATTGAATTTATTAAAAACATATACGAATATGGAAGCCGTTCTATCAGCTTTAAGACGTAAGTCTTTTAATTAATGTCTTCTCCAAAAATATGCTTGTATCACATACAGCCCTAAGTCGTGATTGACCTCGACCCAATGTTTCATAAATCAGTTATTAAGTGTTGTTTTTTATTTTACTTTCACGAGCTTTTGATCCTGATTTTTATAAATGACATATAATATTTACTGAAACTCAGTAAATTTCATTTGTTTTATTAGACGCTGCGTGCACGCGGCGTCTAGTAGATATGCATTCTTTCAGTCAGCAATGGGGCTTTTGATCCTGAATTTTATAAATGACATATAATATTTACTGAAACTCAGTAAATTTCATTTGTTTTATTAGACACCGCGTGCACGCGGCGTCTAGTAGATATGCATTCGTTCAGTCAGCAATGGGGAAAATTTTAGTCTTGTTTTTGTTTAATTTTTTGGTTCTAACAAAATTACACAGTTTTCAGATTTTCGGATAAAAATAGCTTTTCTGATGATCAACATGACCCGAGCGTCATGGAAGTAATATATAGTCTATTTGGGTTTTCCCGTAGCAATCTTTCATGGGAAACAAATGATTTTGTGGCTCCAGTGCACATCCCCCCTAAAATTAAAACCGGCCACAAATTTGGGTTTTTATAAGGAATTGGGGAATATATTTAAATATCTTGAATATTTTGGGCTTTGAAGAAAATTGGGCTTTAAAAAGCCCCTCAAACGGGGGTTTTTCCCTTTAACCCTTTTAATACTTTGACCAACAACCCAAATTTACCTTTTTAAATATTACCCTTTTAAACAAAATATAGAAGATCTCGAGGGAAAAGGTAAACCTTTTAAAATATACATAAATTGTGAAGGCGCTATTTGGCCCCCTGTATACCTATTATTCTTTTCATAAATCAATAAAATAGTTTTGGAAACAAGGCAAATCTTTTTTAACCCATTCCCTTTAAAAAGCCAAACAACCGCCTCGTTTTAAACAGAATTTGTTAATCGCACTAGCGGATTTATCACAAACCAAAAATATGTTTTATAATTACTTTTAATACTTTTAAAAAAATGTACATTTCGACTTGAAACCCAAAATGCTCTGAAATTTCCCTATTATGTCTTTTTAAATTATTTTTGCAAAAAAATCGAGAGATACAAAGCGGGCTTAAACATAAGACCCGTAAAAATTCCCAAAGGGA